CCTCCCCCTAACCCCCCAAGTCTGCCAACACACCCCCCTAACCATGGCCTTCGTAAACATCCATCCCCTCCTACCTGGCCAGGTCGCATCCTCATCTCCCCTATCCAGCTCGTCCCCAGCTCTCACACCTCGTCCCCAGCGAAGCAACCGACCTCTTCCTCACCGTATCGCACATCAGCAAAGAAAGCCCTGCGTTGATCTACAACGCTACAGCGATGAACATCGTTCTGTAAGATGGACTGGATGGGATGCCGGGGAAAGCAGAGTGTCCCGCGTTTGCAGGTGCGTTTGATTCCGAGACTGCATGGGGATCTGGAGGGAAGAGGTGGGGTGGAAAGGTCTTTGAGGTGCTTGATGGGGTTAAGGGGATGGTGAGGATTTTTTTTGGAGAGGAGGAGGGGTGGAGGGTAGGGGGCTGCTAAGGGGGGTTGGAGATGAGGGGGGATTGGGAGATGGCTGAGGAGGCGGGGGTCTTGAGAGGGGAGATGGAGAAGATGGGTCTTGGGGGGTGCGACTGGGAATGTCTTGTGGGTGTTGAATTGGGGAGCATGTACATGTCGGTATTGGTTCCCAAGGTGTGGTGTGGAATGATGCAATGAATATGAGAAGCTTGATGCAATGTGTTAGGGAGGTTTGTAGTGTTCACACGAAAGGAAAGTGTACTCGAAGGAGTAAAGGTGTCTGTCTGTCTACTTTTACAACATCAGGTTGGTGTTGAGTATGAGGCCCATTGATGATAACGCAAATACCAGGTTGCTCTAACACATCTTTCTCGCGAGAGGAAGTCGTTTGGCTGGCCAGGCTAGTCTTCCAAGTATTCAGTCTTAGTTCAATCTAGTTTCGTGTCTACTTATATCGACTTTGAGAGCATGTTTTTATGTGTATCCCTCATATCTGGGAGGGATATTAGATAGTAGAATGGGGTAGAAGCGTGCGGTATTGACTCTGTTCTACGGCACGTATATATAGACTAACACTAGTCAAGNCCTCCCCCTAACCCCCCAAGTCTGCCAACACACCCCCCTAACCATGGCCTTCGTAAACATCCATCCCCTCCTACCTGGCCAGGTCGCATCCTCATCTCCCCTATCCAGCTCGTCCCCAGCTCTCACACCTCGTCCCCAGCGAAGCAACCGACCTCTTCCTCACCGTATCGCACATCAGCAAAGAAAGCCCTGCGTTGATCTACAACGCTACAGCGATGAACATCGTTCTGTAAGATGGACTGGATGGGATGCCGGGGAAAGCAGAGTGTCCCGCGTTTGCAGGTGCGTTTGATTCCGAGACTGCATGGGGATCTGGAGGGAAGAGGTGGGGTGGAAAGGTCTTTGAGGTGCTTGATGGGGTTAAGGGGATGGTGAGGATTTTTTTTGGAGAGGAGGAGGGGTGGAGGGTAGGGGGCTGCTAAGGGGGGTTGGAGATGAGGGGGGATTGGGAGATGGCTGAGGAGGCGGGGGTCTTGAGAGGGGAGATGGAGAAGATGGGTCTTGGGGGGTGCGACTGGGAATGTCTTGTGGGTGTTGAATTGGGGAGCATGTACATGTCGGTATTGGTTCCCAAGGTGTGGTGTGGAATGATGCAATGAATATGAGAAGCTTGATGCAATGTGTTAGGGAGGTTTGTAGTGTTCACACGAAAGGAAAGTGTACTCGAAGGAGTAAAGGTGTCTGTCTGTCTACTTTTACAACATCAGGTTGGTGTTGAGTATGAGGCCCATTGATGATAACGCAAATACCAGGTTGCTCTAACACATCTTTCTCGCGAGAGGAAGTCGTTTGGCTGGCCAGGCTAGTCTTCCAAGTATTCAGTCTTAGTTCAATCTAGTTTCGTGTCTACTTATATCGACTTTGAGAGCATGTTTTTATGTGTATCCCTCATATCTGGGAGGGATATTAGATAGTAGAATGGGGTAGAAGCGTGCGGTATTGACTCTGTTCTACGGCACGTATATATAGACTAACACTAGTCAAGGTTTCCTTACTGTCTAGCTACTTCGGGATGGTGTAGCGGGGTTTAATAGTATCTCTGTTAGTATATTTGTCGGATTCTGGGGTAAGTTGAAAGTGATTATAAGTAGATCTAACATTAAATGGGGTTTAGGACCATTTCTTATCAGCCATTGTAACTACAATATCTACGAATGTTCCAAAAGGCTCTTGGATATACTTCAATAGAAAATGTCTGGTGTTTTCGTGCTGCAAATTTCAAACAAGCGAGCAATGATTGTCCAAGTACTTTCGAAGCTATTGGTTTTGGAGTATCAGAGCGGGAGGTTTACTTGTCTAGTCTCGTAATTTTTCACACTTGTTTTTATTGATTGGTTGTTTGGTTGTATCTTTACTTAAAGGTCAGGAGATGTTAGTGTAAAAGTAGAGTGAAATAAATACCCTTGAATCCAAAAAGACTTAAAGAGTAGTGTGGGAACAAACCACTTAACTCGAGTATGATTTAGGGTTACTTAGAGTTAAGTTAAAATAAGTATGGGTAGGTAGTTTAATTGAGTTAAGTTAAGTATTAGATTCAACTACTTGAGTAATACTCAAGTAGTTTATTACTCGAGTAGTTGTATACAGTATAAGACGTGACTTCAATATAAAGAAATTATCTTATACGCAATATAGGAGCACTCGGTAGTGACTCGTGAGAGTGTAGAGTATAAACTTGGAGTTTTACAGATGTCCTTCGAGACACTTTAGTACGATAGCATACAATTCACACTATAATCTATACTCTTTCTTCGTCTAAGTCTGAGTTGGCGGACCGTCTGTCCGCACTACTGCCCGGGCCCGGGCCCGCTACGGGGACTCGCGCCGGGCCACCCCGTACTACTTGAATAACTTAGGTCTCCGAGTACTTGGCGGGTTAAGTTAAGCAGGTCTAATAACTACTTCTTAACTCAACTCGACTTATTTTTCACGCTAAAAAGAGTTCTATACTACTGAAATTAAAATATATTAGTTTATAACTGCTGAATCATTACAGCTTTAGATATAGAATAACTAATCATAAGCCAGAGAAGAATCATCAAGAGCTATTGCTTTACTCACGTGATTGTCGTTTCTTCACAATGACCGATAGCTGCTATATACAGACTACTAAGATAATCTGAGTTCTCTAGGCAAATAATTTCCAAATATAATTTTATTTTGGCTTCCAACGCGTTTTAAAGCATCGCTGATTAAAACACGTGACCAATGATCCCTGTACTCGACACAACGCATCCGTCGTATCCCAACCATCTTCATCGTCTAACCTCAAGCTTTCTGAGAAGCCTTTCCACAAGCTCAGCGCCTCCATTCCAAGATAAAGCTTCTTTGAACCGCACCGAGCTACATCGCTCTCCGGGTTGAATCAACTCTCAGTTCCCGTTATGAACCCTCAAGGTGATTCGGCCCAGGCTCCTCCCGCCACCGACGACTATTACGACCTCGGAACATATCAACGCATAATTAGCACTCTCAGCCGGGACGCACAGATCTGGTTCAACCGTGGCCTCATCTGTAAGTTTCTTTTTGAAAGCCTCTATCCATACTTTAGTCTGCTTAAGAGACACACCCGTCTGGTACTCCGGAGACATGTTTGATAACTGTATATCTACTACTTATATTCTTCTCAGCAAGTAGACTGACACTAGGATTTTCGTGCCTAGGGGGTTACGGATTCAATCATGAGGAAGCTGTAACGTGTTTCCGCAATGTGACACTGAAGGATCCTACATGCGCCATGGCATTTTGGGGCATGGCGTATGCACTGGGCCCTAACTACAATAAACCTTGGGACTTTTTTCGGGGCGACCAGCTTGATGCATTGCTCTCTCAAGCACGTTGGGCGATTGACAAGGCAAAAGAAAACTCGCCATCAGCCTCACCTGTCGAGCGAGCAATTATCGGCACCCTCGATCACAAATACCCTCCGCACTCACGTCAGCTTGGTAGAGAGTTTTCCATCTGGAACCAAGAGTACGCAGATGCAATGGAATCCGTCTATAAGAACTTTCCAGATGATCTTGATGTGGTAACACTATACGCAGAGTCGTTGATGAATCTCACTCCCTGGGAATTATGGGAAGTAAGGACAGGACAGCCTGCTCCCAAAGCTCGTACTTTAGATGCAAAACGAGTTCTTGAACGAGCTCTGAATCAGAACGGGGCTTTCGAACACCCTGGCATTTTGCATCTATACATCCACCTCATGGAAATGTCTGGAACACCCGAAGCTGCTCTTCCAGCGTCAGATCACCTAGGTGACCTTGTACCAGAGGCAGGACATCTTCGTCACATGCCCTCCCATATTTACGTCCTATGTGGTCAATACAAGAAAGCCATTGATGCAAATTCAGCCGCCATCATTGCAGATGAAAAATTTCGGGATCGGAACGGGCCTTACAACTTCTACACACTCTACCGGTCTCATGATTATCATTTCCGAATATATTCTGCCATGTTTGCCGGTCAATCACGGGTAGCCATTGATACTGCTGGGCAACTTGAGACTTGTATTATTGAGCTGTTAACTCGTGAGCCAGGGAGGGCCGATATGTTGGAGGCTTTTCTTAGCTCCCGTGTCCATGTTCTGATTCGATTCGGTCGCTGGCAGGAAATCCTGGACCTCAAAATTCCGACTGACCAGGAGCTTTATTGTATGAGTACCGCAATGACATATTACGGAAAGGGCGTTGCTCTCGCCGCTACAGGGAGGGTGCCAGAGGCAATGAAGCAACAAGAACTTTTCAACCTGGCGGCCAAGAAAGTTGGACCTTCACGCACTCTATTCAATAATAAGTGCAGTGATATCCTGGTCATAGCAGGTGCGATGCTCAATGGCGAACTCGAGTATCGGCGTGGAAACTTTGACATTGCTTTTGAATATCTTCGGAAGTCCATCTCTCTCGACGATGCCCTTCCATATGAGGAACCCTGGGGTTGGATGCAGCCCACCCGTCATGCATACGGCGCGCTTCTTCTAGAGCAAGGTCGGAATGAAGAAGCTGCGGCTGTTTATTCGGCTGACCTTGGAATTGATGATACACTGCCGCGAACATTTCGACACGCCAAAAATGTTTGGTCTCTTCACGGTTATCACGAGAGTTTGCTGAAACTTGGGCGTACGGCTAAAGCCAAAGCCATTCAACCAGAGTTATCAAAAGCGCTTGACCTAGCGGACGTTCCCATAAAGTCATCATGCTTCTGCCGGCTATGAATGGTCATAGTAGTTAGTTTGATGATAATATCTTGCTTTCGCTTAGCGAGACATTCTAGACAGTGTCATTTGAGTCTGTAGTAATCTCAGTGTTTTCGACAAGTCGCGGGATGCAAGAGGAAGTTGCTTCGGCATTGGTAATCCTCTACAGTACAGATATTCAATCCTGGCTCCGGGACTCATTTTCTATTGTCCTAACACTTCCAAAGTGATAATTATAAGATCAAAGCACATTGTCAACCAGTCTCAGGCGAGGCATTTCTTTTGAAGTGCATTTTAGAGAATTTAAATCATGATGTATTCATAGTACCAGCCCCTCCGGACTCCTCTGCAGAGGTAGTTGGGGACTTGCCTCCGGAGCATGTTACTCCAAATTTGTTCCCACCAAAATCCCCACCCAAGAATTGAAAGATATATACAGTGCCAGCCATACAGTGCCAGCGACCCATTGGTCGAGCTACAATCCCCATTATCCCCATTAAAAAAAGACCCATCCAGATGCATTGCTCTACAACCCTGTTGCAATCAATAAACGAAAAAGGCAAGATTTTCGCCTCCTGACTCCTTCAGCTGTTTGTTTCTTCTCATCATAACGATCTTGACTGCCCATGCTGTTGCTGCAGTGGCTGCCGAGAAAGCAGCAGATGAGAACATGGCTGGCTGATATTGTGGGGCATCGGCCTTGTTCCATAGATACTTGGATTGTTGTTAGAATTGGGACATAGATTTCAGAGGGGTAGTACGTACTGGAGTCCAAACGAAACTGGCGTTCATAACGGTTGAGACTATGCCGATGGCAGCAGCCTTCTTCTCTTTGGATTGACCACAGGTGGAACCAACCCATCCGAGAATCAAACTGTTTACTGCATATGTTCCGATACAGAACACTATCATGGAGAAATATTTGACGCCAAGGTTAGTGGTTACTGCTCCGAGTACGAAACCGACGATTGCGACAGCCTTGGATACGGTGATGTGCCAGGTTCTCTCATTGAGTTTACCAGACAACCAAGAGACACCGATAGTGAAGAAACCTGCGATGAGATACTATACAAGATTAGATTTTGACCTGGGTTGATGCGTTAGGGGTCTTACAGGTGGGCAAGTAAGGACAAGAGTGATTGTTTGATTGTAACCAAGTGTCTCAACGACGGTTGGGAACTGTTTTCTTGATTAGTATTTGTATATCCAAGGCACGTTCATAGAAGCTTACAAAGTTCTTGAAACCGTTGGCAGCCAAGTGCATATGAGCCATGAAAGCGAACATCCAGACGCAAGGGTCCATGCCAGCCTGCTTAAGTCCCTCAAAGACACCTGAAGCTTCTTCACCACCAGCAGTATCCTCAACCATTCTTTGGGTCGCAAGAAGTCTCTCCTCAGGAGTCAACCATTTGGTATCATGGGGGAAATCAGGTAGGACGAAGTATCCAACCACAGCAACGGCGAAAGTTACCACTCCCTGCAGGATAAAAAGCCATTGCCAACCAGAGAGGCCGTGCACGCGATCCAAACCATGGAAGACACCTGCTGCGATGAGACCAGCAAATGCGGTAGCTAGGACGTTTCCAGTGTACAGAATGGCAATTCGGGTGGCGATTTCCTTTCTGGTGTAAAAGATGGAGAGGATATAGACGGCACCGGGGTAGTATGGGGCTTCTGTGAGACCAAGGAAGAAACGAACAAGGACGAGACCTTTGTAGTCGTGTACTACGGCAGTAAGTGCAGAGACAACAGCCCAGAGCATCATTGCACAACCCATGTAGCGAGAGGGACGAGTTCGGTTAAGGAACATGTTTGATGGAAGTTGACCGCATAGGTAACCGACGAACAGGATAGAGACACAGGTTTGGTATTCTAAAGTTCGAGTCAGCGAATTTGTTACAACTTGTAGGCTTCTGGGAAGGGAATACTTACGACTGCCTGTCAGGTTCAATTCCTCCTCAAGTCGATTCAATCGAGCCAGTGCAATGGCATTTCGATCGAGATAGTTGAGCCAGTACATGCTCCATAACATGGGCTGAACAATCCGTTAGAGTGTGATATGTTAGATCTCCGGGTATTGAGGTACGTACCATAATCCATCTGTCGAGTTTCTTGACAAGAGCGATCTCTTTTGGGTCCGTCTTCTCGCGTGCTCCTGAGTAATCGGCTTTTGCTTCGGTCTTCAGTTCCGTCAGATCCTCCACTTGCTCGACAACAGCGGTGATCTTTTCATTCTTCAGATCGCTCATGATGACAAGTTTGCTTTGCGCTCGCGCAAAGAGGTCGGGAGCTAGAAAAGTTGTAGAGGAGAGAGAAGGAGGAATATTTCAGGCTAGCCGTGATAATTGCAAGCTCCTTGAGGAATAAGATTTTGAAAGGGAATAGACAAAGGACTATATAGCTCGAAAGAGGTAGCCATATTCAATGATTCCCAGCCATTCAATGTCATTGCTTAGCACCCAAGGATCTTCACCGTTTCTTCAACGTGTATCGAATGGCATTCCAAGTAAAGTCCAAGCTCTTTCCCCGAGGACTTGGTATTGCCATGCCTCAGCTCGGATAATACCCAGCTTTTAAGAGCAAGAAACGAGCAATTGGCATTATATCAAACTATGATTGGGCGACAAATGTCCGCAGAATTATTTGTTGGAGCACAACGGGGTTGTTCTTTCGAGGAGCCAATACTCGGAGTTGTGGGGCAGATTAGAAGGGCCGACGATGGGTACGGGGAACCATGAATCAAAGACATGTCGGTGTTCTTAGACATGAAGATCAGGAGGTGGGATGTTTTTTTCTGTCTTGGAGTTGCAGCATTTGCTCTCATTTCTTCTACGGGAGTGGACGAAGTTTCCCCAACGGATTTTCCACGTGGTCGCAAAACATACAAGATAAGCGAAATGAAGGTTTTCCGCATTCACTCGCAGGATAGATGCCGCCATGGCCAATTCTACTTCAAAATGCTTTCCATATGTAGATTTACACTTTGTAGAATTTGCCATAAAGCGTGATTAGAACATGCTAAAGAACAACATACAATATCTTGAAGTACGGTACGAGTAAATGGCGCAAACATCTAAACACTGACTCACACTAACATAAACAGCAAAGGAACAAGCATTGGCGCATGCGTGAAAGAGCTCCAAAGCCCAGAACATCACGAGGAATTGACATCACGAGGAATTGACATCACGAGGAATTGACATCACAGTCCCCCTCCAATGAGGATACGCCTGAAACATCCCTCACTGTGTGACCAAGTAATTTTGTTTATCAAGCTTGGGGTGATGTTGTTGGCGTTTGCTTGACTAGTCATCCGGGCACTGACTAACAAGACTTGGTGTTCTTGTATTGTGTCTCTCTGCCGCTGTGGACAGCAATATGATTCGTACATCTGCGTAACACAAGGGCACGTCCCTTTGTGAGAACGGACTGAATCAGGTATGGGGAGTGCTATCCGCGTACCAAGGACTTGGGATAAGATTCCAAGACTTGACACCCGGAATGGCTGGAACATAAGTGGGGTGGAATCGCGGGGAAGGGACGTTTTCGAGGGGTACTCAAGGAGCCTCACAAGGAAATGTCCACGACGATGCGTTTCGGCATCCGGGTGATAGTTGTTGGGTAGCAGTCGGTAGTAAGCTTTGATACTTGGCTCCTTTCAGATAGTCAAAGGTGTCATGAATAAGATTTCAAGAAGAGCTTCAACCGTCCGCTCTCGTTTATACTTTCCAGCACGAGTGAATCACCGGCCCGTTCACTTTTACGTCCCGCTACGAGTAATACGATTAAAACGCAATCTCTAAATAGTTATCTGACGACTCAGAAAGAGCTTGTATGAAGTTCTAACTTCCAGGCGCTCAACATTCTCATAGAGTTTTGTCAAATTATAATGACTGACAGGCGAGGCAGTAGTGGAGTCCAGGTCGCAAGAATATGAACAACCTTCTCTCCATTATCGAAGGTGTATTGTCGACATCACCATCCACAAACATTCTTTGAGTGTCTGTACCTAGGTATTCAATTTAGGTTACCATTACAGTATCTCGGCTGAGCTTCTGGTACGAATGCGAGCCATCCGACACGACAGCCAGGCGGTGAACGCCCAATAGCGTATTACTGCACCTCAAAAAATTACCAAAAGTAGAACATGATTAGAGCAAAGGAGATTCAATTAATTTGAGCCCAAATGTGACGTAGCTTATCTCTATTTCGCTGACTCTTCAGTTGCCAAATACTGCAAGAGTTGAGGTCATTACTATGAACACACTTACCTAGGTTAAAATAATATTATCCTAAAAGCTTCCTACAACAAAGTTTTGCGAGCGATGTGAGATAATTGAAATCAATATATATTGATTAGCTCAAAAGTAATCTAGGAAAACTACGCTAATTGTATTAGGTAGGAATTCTAGCAAAATAGGTTCTTAGGGTATGTCCAGAGTATTGCAAATGTCTCTTATCGTTGGGTTTACATAGGAAACAAAACTCCCACTAATCATACCCCCAATCCTGGAGGTATTGCCGTATAAAGATATTTGGTAAAAGAAACGTTCCTTGCCGTTTTTTTCTGATAGCTACGCAATATAAACGAACGCGAAGGATAACCATAAACTCTAGAATTTGAAAGATAAAGAGATCCACCGAGTTCACTTGCAGCAAAAGGAGAGGAAAAATAGATAAAGTGAGAACAGAATAATATGAATTATAAGTAAGACTACCTATATGATACGTGTCAGATTATCTCGCAACGGAATACTGAGTATTCAGTTGTATTTCCGATGATCTCGTGACGGTACCAGCAAAGTCAATGCCTTCAAATTGCGATAACCATAGCCGTCAAACCCCACCCAAACCTAACACCGAGCCGGCTCAAATAAACTCAAAGTCAAACCCACTTCGCCGACCAAACTCCGTCTTTGAAAGTTGCTACAGCCAGGTGATTCTTTATCACTCTGTAAAATCTTATCTGGTCATTCCAAGATGAACTAGTAATCCCGCAACTCGTGGTATCGCTTTCAAACCACGTCAAATCATGATATACTTCCTGCTTCCAACCCGGAGTCGATATTCCGCTTGTCTCATTAGGCTGAAGGTCGCCACGGGCTATTGCCGCAAAGGTTGGGGATGATGCATTCTTGCCTTGGAGTTCATATATTAACCTATCGGAACCCACGAAATATGCCCTCAAACTATCCAGGGCCGCAACGTAAGTGGAGGTGAATGATGTGGACGGATCCCATTGGGGAACTGGGCTTGTGGAAACAGGTGCAGCTGAGTGAAAGTTAGCCCCATCGGAAAATCATTCTGAATCATAAACTCACGATTTCTCCAGCTCTTCTGCTGATTGTAAACCTGGAATAGCGTCTTGGTGCTTGCGTCCACGTATAGAAGATGCATATCACCAGTTGTTCCAATATTAGCCACTGCAATTTTGCTCCCAGCCAAGCTCTTTCCAGCTGAAATAATTCTTCCATGGTCCCAGTTTCCATCGTCATCACTCGTCAGCTGTGTAATATATCGATCCTTGTTTTGGTAAAAGACGTGATACGAATCAGTTTTCGCATGATAGACTACTCCCAGTGCAGAGTCTCCAGCAACAGGGAAGGTGAGGTTTCCCCGAATGGGTTCGTTTGCTATAAGTGTGCAGATCATTGGCACGCAGCTGACATTTGCGGTGATGATTTCTTGATCTTTGATATAAAAAAGGCTAAGATAGATCACCGAGTCGTTTCCCAACTTTGCTACTGCTGCCATAGGTGTATTGGATAGAGGTTGAATTGTGAGATTCATTGGTTCTGCTGGTCTGTAATTCCCAGGTTCATAACTGAGAGACAACATCATCTTTCCTGTCGTTCGATTGGTTCCGTAGATTTGAGAAAACCAAGTCGATTTATTTGAATTCGTCCAAGTTCCTGACGAAGTTATTACCGGGAAATTTCTTTTCTTGTTCCAAGGCCGAGAGCTAGCCCACACCCCTAATCCCACAGAGAGTCCAATTACTAAAAGTAAAACAGCTGGTACGGTAAGGAAAAAAGTCTTCCTCGGAATCCAGCAAATCTTCCGACGGGTTGCCGACGGTATTTCGTTCGCAAAACTTCCCATGCCCTTGCCTGATGGTGCCAGAGGGCTTTGATCAGGAACTGGTGGTTGTGAGATAGCAACCGAATCCGAGGGTGAGTATAACTCAGGCGCAGAATGAATTACAACAGTTGGGTATCTCTCTTCATCGCTCATTACATACTCTCTTGCTGGTATAACTGTTGAAATTGTCATCTCGCTGACTGATTGTGGGTATCTTTCAATATCGCTTAACATAGTCGACGAAATTGGACTATTGGAGGTCACGGTAGTTGGTGAGGTTGTGTATTCTGAGGAATATGCTGGAGGGGGTACTGGACCATTCTCGACAGGAAGCTCAACCTACTGGAATGATTAACCACCTGAATGCTTGTTGGCAAAGAATTGATGATTTGGACTTACTGGAGCCCGCCCCGTGCTTGCACATTCCGATTCTGTCTCGACGGGGACCTTCTCGCTGCTCGCGGACATCGCCGTTCAGATAATTATTATTATAAATCCACCGACTTGAATGGGAAACTGTAGGATTTGAAACAAAATTACTCGTAAGACCACGGTTGAATCATCAAGCAAAAATCAAACACACTAAGGAAATGGAAGCCGTGCTAACAAAAAAGTTCCGGCCATAGGAAGGTTGCGAGAGGGTATTATGAAGACCTTCTGTTATCACGGGAAAGCAACGGCCCTTTCCAGAATGGGAGCTCGATGCGATATGGGAAGTGAAGGTTCCCCAGACCAATCTTAGCGAAGTCTATCGAAATTGTCGCTATGCGACGAATCAGAAGCGAGATCGTCCTATGGGTCAGCCCTACACGAAAGGTAAATTAATATCGGACGAATCACACCAACCCTTCCCTCTGTTTGTGCAAAGATTTGGGGTTGAAACGGAACAATGGGGACCTTGCCACATTGAAACATTTCATTTACATTCGGGGCTTATATAAAAACATGATAAACAACTTATTGAATCTTGCAATGGGATGACCATGAAGGCTGAGTCGTGATCTAATGAGGGGTTGACTCTGATCCAAGGCAGGCTTTGTCATTTTGGCGGTGGACCCTGTCGAGCCTGTGACGGGACTTTCCTCGACCCCGCTAATTGAGAACTATACACTTGGCTGCCATTGTACTTGAAACTGATGGAAAAGCATTTTGGAAAATCGAAAACCACGTGAATGCTCCATCCTATATCTTCTCTCTGCTAAGAATCAGCTCGCGGCTCAATTAAGATGGCTTGAATAAGGGTGATGCACATACTTTTATTGAAGTAAGAATTGGTGTTCTAGATGATGCCTTACCCCACCTATTCTAGTGCAAGGATAATCCCCTCAATGCAATTTCGATCGTCACGGGAAGGCCGTACTTGTGCTTTGTGACAGAATACCAAAGGCTTCTTCATTTTTCGACATGAGGCATGGTAAAGATGGTGGTCGCATTCGCTTTCCCCTACAGATATCAGTGATATATGGTCTAAAAGCTACTGTATACAGAGCCAATTCCTTAATTTTGAGCAATCGATTGCGCGAAATTACTAGTTGTTAGATTTCGAAAAGTGCCCATAGATGGAGGATGTTACTGTACAACAGTATCAAAGGGGCAATTCGATGCGACCGCCCTTATTATTTCCAAGCTGCAAATTCTTGAACGATTTAATTCTGCATACATGTACTCTTACTCGACGTCATTTGGTTATGTTAAATTTTTCTAAGTATCTTAATATTGTATACATTGAATAGATAAGGGATACTTACTGGATCCAAAATAATTTATATTCGATTAAATTATCCTAGAATTTTGAAAGAAATTCATCAACTCACTTTAATTAAGAACAGGAATTCACCACTGGTGTCTCCAGACCTGTAATGAAATTGGAAGCGTCAGGTTAAATGATTTGAATGTGTTTGAAAACAGAAAGAACCAATGGATTGCATCTACATTTTAGCGAGTCCATAATAGTGACAAATAAACCCCCTGAAAGCAATTGATTACATCGCGAAATAGCCAAGCTGCAGGTAGAGTATCAGATTGAACCTTGTAAATAAAGACGAACAAATTTGCAAATTATGGCACCTGGAAGCATATAGCGGGGGTTCCTGTTCAATATTTTAATGATCAATCTTATTACGACAGCAACCGCGAAAAGACTTATACGGATATGTATAATCTAAAGTACCTTTCTCCGATACACTACACGATAGACCAATACCAGGCACCAAAATCTATGGTAACGCTCTAAACTCCACCTCCACTAAGCCTGATAACTTGACCTGTTGGCGAGTTAGTAAGAGCAACCACACACTGGAGTCTAAACATACCATTGATCCATTCCGCATCGGGACTGACCAAAAGCGCAACGGCTTTGGCAATATCACTTGGGACACCGCATCTTTTCAAAGGGCAGAATTTCGCGATACCCTGTTCGATAACCTCCATACTCATTTCTGGGTAACCGTTTGGTACATAATGCCAAGCATTTGCATCAAACATCTCGGTCTTGATTCCACCCGGCGCAATCGCATTTACAGTGACGCCCTTTTCCCCGCAATCCACAGCAAACGAGCGAGCGAATCCTTCAACGGCAGCCTTGGAGCCAGCATAAAGAGCATGGTTTGGAATGCCACTCATAGAGGCCGCGATGGAGGACATGAGAATAATTCTTCCACCACGAGTGAGATGTTTAAGTCCCTGTTGAGCGACGAAGAATTGTCCTCTGCAGTTAAGGTTGAAAATGTAGTTGAAATCCTCTTCGGTGACATCTTCCTCCTTACTCCAGACCTCGGTACCGGAGTTGGAGATGACGAAATCCAATCTTCCGAAATGTGCAATAGCTTTGTCGAAAAGCTGGACGATCTCGGCGGGCTTAGATACATCTGCTTGGAGAGCAATGGCTTTGCTGCCAAGCTTGAGGATTTCTTCCACAACAGATTGAGCAGCTGAAGAAGACTTGGCGTAGTTGATTATAACAGAGGCTCCCTTTGACGCAAGTTCAAGGGCCATTCCCTTACCGATTCCTCGACCTGAACCAGTGATGAGTGCTACCCGGCCTGAGTATGGACGGGGATCTTGGAATGGCGAGGTGTTGGACTGAGTGGTAAGGGTGGTGCCATTTCCAGGCCCAGAAATTGCGGATGGTGACATGTTTGGTTTGAATTGAGATAGATGAGGTTATATTGTACCTATAGCTTCTTAGTCTTCAGCATTCGCGATCTGCATTATTTCCCTCACCTAAACGCACGAAATCTTGTATCGAGAAGTTTTTGGTTTTCAAAAAACCAGCAAATGGATCAACTTATTTCAGCAACTTGTCCATTTTCCGCCCTAGTAACACTTCAGCTCCTCTCTCAGTCCGTAAAGATACACGGTGCTCCGTCTTCCTATTTCAAAAGACTCCCTCCGCATCGTTTCCCCACCCCGCCCACAATCCAATACTCTCAGAATAAACGCCATTCCCCCAACTTCCCCAATCAGCCTACGCGGACGTCCGCCAACACCGATCCACGCAGCAACGCAATGAATACAAATGTTTCAACCACGATGCCGACTATCCGATAGCCAATTTCGGAGTAATCTTCGTTTTTTCGCCGACTTCCCCACATGAATGTGGCAATGTTTATGGGGTAGTAATACAGCCGTCACCGCCGAGTCGCTGCGCGGAATTTTATCTTGTCGGTTCCCCAGACTGAAATATCGATCTACCTCGGAAGCATATATCCGTCTACTATAGCGCCCCCTTGACCCGGGCTCGCTTAGCGAAAGGGCTAGGAAAATTACTCCTAAGTCAACTGTATTCGCAAGGCGCACCGTGAGGAATGCAATTCGGAATCACGTGATGAAAATTATCAATGCGTGAAAGATAGAAACGACAATCAAAGAATTATTGTACAGTACACTTGAAGATATACCTTCCCTGTATTTATTACTGCGCCCGCTCCAATATCGAATTACTATAGGAAGAGCATCCGTTTGACGTAAGTATCAAACGAAAAAACGAAACTCGTGTAATCATAGTCTTTGCAATATACTGTCGCCCCGGTAGATGTTTAACCCAAAACGCCATAGAAAATGAAACTCAATAGAACGACAGTAGTGCTGAACGAAGTTTAACAGAAATTGGCATGGCAAGGACAAACCACCTGCTGGTCTGAGATTGAAAGAACAGGAACCCAGTGAAATACGGAAAGAAATCTCGCTGAAAATAGAAAAGGTATCGTTAACATTCAAAGCCCCAGTTGAGCTGCAAGGTTTTCAGCTTTCTCCTAATACCCTCACTCATCCTTCCCTCTATCCCCTCAGCCAAAAGCTCTGAGCAGTGATTCAATACCTGCCCGGGCTGATCAAGGTGCGTATAGCTACCGTCATTCCGACCCAGTACGGGAACGCCTTCACCATCCCACAGGTAAGAGGTAACTGAAGGGTGCTCAGGAGTGACAGAATCAATGGCGAACACACATTCGTTGTTGGTGTTGTGGGTAGTGACACTGGCAATCGATGATTGAGAAAGGCTATATATCCAAACAATCATCGTAGCACGGTAAATTGCTGCAGACCACCAGTGTGGTCTACTATGTTTTGGCATTGAATTAACGAGACGGAAGACTTGTCCACAGTGGAATAAAGCTTCCTCACGGCGATAGATGCAGCGTTTATAGAACGCGGTATTTGCTAGAGTTTCGGAGCTATATTCTTTTCTCGCCACACGCTCAATGTCGGGAAAGGATGTGACAGTGTTGAGGTTGATTAGATGGTAAAGCACCAGGTTTTCTTGAACAATCAAAGAGGCTGAGTCATCACTGGCATGAAAGATACACAAGCCATACCATTTTTGTAACAACGACTGCACCTCTTCAAGCCTCGACATTGTTGAAGCTTTCGTGACTGTGCGTCCTCCACGATGAGGGCCAGGGCCATCCGAGAAACAGGTCAGGATGTGTCGAAGATGAGAGACTAGTGAATGAAGAGGATGAAGAAGTAATTTGAGCTGAAGGGGAGTAAGTTGTCCATGAGAGCGGATGTTGTCATGGAGAAGGTCCTGGAAAAGATCACCGATAGAAGGAGCTAGTACAGTTACAGTGGCAGGGGAAAAACCTCTATCGGGACGATCACGGGAATTGTAGAACGCAGCAAGCCATTCGTCGGCGTCTTTGGCAAGCCACAGGTCTTCGTCACTCGGCAACGGCGTTTGAAGCTCCGTGGTGGAGAGAACACAAGCAGTGTCGTGAAACAGACTGAGTTCTTGGTCGACCATAACCCAGTTGTAGACTAGCCTGCTGCAAGTTAGCATCGCAAGTCCTTGAAAGGGATACAAGACGTATGTCAGTTGTTCCAGGAAGCGCAACTCGCTATGTCCCGCAGCCAATGCCCGTTGGCGGCGAAGGCCATAGGTGTGACGCTGACAAGCAACAGAGCGCAACGCCCAAGGACGATATATATATACACACATACCGAATCTTGGTTTCTCTCTTTACCCAGGTTCTCCATTGGAGGTCCTTGCTTGAGCAATTGTCAAATACTGGTGTGAAGGAAGGTTGAGGCTCCATCATCCCCGCATGTTTGAGCATCTGAATTGCACATTTCAGTCAGCCAAGCCTTTTTTCGCCAACCCGTCACCTATTTTGAGTAACGTCGGCACCGAGTTCCAATACCCTTGGATCACAACAAATAACTCCAAAGATGCTCATCGCAGGATTGCCCAAACAAGCAGTAAACTTTGAAAGCTCTCTGGAGAAACACTTACGGCAAGATACATTCCTCTCTGCCCCATTGCCATATCCATATGCCACTTATCGCCGCCTATAGCAGGTCAGTTTTATTCCAAAAATTTGGTATCAAGTTACATACCCCATGCAGCAAGCATCGTAAAGAGCAATGCACATCGAAGTACGATGGGATCAGCAGACAATTCCACGTCCTTTTCAATCAAATCGAAGAGAGATATTCGACAGGTTTCAGTAAGTCCAGCTGTAAGTTGTCGCGCTTCTGGCGATGCAATAGCGGTTGCACCTTCGGCAATCATTAAAAGAACGAGCAGCGTGGAGGCCTGATTGTTCAACATTAACTCGTTCGGATCCACCGTGCCGCCATTAATTAATGAGTAGTATGATGTTAATGTGCGAACATAGTTTTGCAGGAAATACTCCAGCGTCTCAGCAGGCGGCAGCACAAGAAAGCTGAATCCACCACCAGGGCTAACCTGAGACGCTGCTTTGGGCCATGCATTTGAGCCACCACGATGTGTGTTGAGCGCCTTATGGAGAAAACTCTGAGTGATGGCCAAAATTTTGTCGCGGGTTGTTGGGTTCAAGGGAACAATTGAAATAGAGGGCTGGTGTGTCAAAGCCATTTCAGGGTTCTCCAAAAGCGAGTCCCATACAGCATTGTTTTGAGAATTCTGCTCCAGTGTTTCCAAGTGGACGATTGCGGTTCGTGGGCAGGTGTCGGAGAAAATAGGTCGATTACATCGGGCAAGTGGCCATGCATCCTCGGCTGCGATTACCGCCTCAAATTCCGAGAGCAAAGCTGCTTTGATTCGAGGGTCGATATTCTTACTAGCAGCGGAAGGCATTGGAGAAGCATGACTGGACTGTCTGGTGTGGGGTGTAGAGACCGAACGACGAGATGAGGCATTAGACTGTCCATAAGAACTTGAAGTGGCCTCGCTTAAGTCAGATGTGGGCATTTCGAAGTTTCCCAGGTGGGGAGAGAATGCAGGACTCCTAAAGTTATCCAGTACCATTGGATACTCACCGCTCCATGACAGAAATTCTTGGAAATCAATGTTAGGAGCATCGAAACCATCACTGAAGTCCATATGCATCGATGATGAATTGTTCGTCCCTTCGAGCCCCTCCCCACAAAATATACCTACATCGGGATACAGGAGTCCGTCATTGCTGACTGGCGTGTGAATTTGTGGTGGTTGTAGTATTGAAGTTTTTGGTGAATTGTTATTTGCCTCACTATAGGGGCTTCTAGCGCCCTTCATGTCCATATCCATTTGTCCCATTTGTCCCATCTGAACTGGAAGCTGGTGGTTCATTGGAGATACGGCTAGCGGTGCAGCTGCAGCTGCCCGAACAGCAACTTTTGAAATTCGCCGGGCATACCGAGCTTCGCAAGGTAGATTCTTTTCATAACATCGAGTGCATGGGACATTCTTATCGCAGCCAGCTTTCGCATTGGCACAGTTGAGGCAGGCAATTGGAGTTCTTCTAGGAACGTGTTGAGTTCGTCCAGGGATGGCCTGCATATTATCCTGAATCTCGTGGTAACTAGCCTGGTGTCGTTGAAGAAGATCTCTGCCATGAGTTAGCAAGGACCGCGTGGCATGTGCTACAGATGGAACACGAATACCAACCTTCGTGCGAATGACAATTGACAAGCACCGCAACGATGTGGCTTCACGTTGGTATCTGCCCTCGCTGCTCAGCTCACATTTCACACATGACGATCTCGCGGTACATACGGCTTGGTATATGTCTCTCGAGATGCTCTTTCCTCGTGAAGCTTTTCCCGCAGTAGGTACAGAAAACACCAACCATATTCCTCAATGTTGTTGCTGAAGAAATATGAGGAGTAGTTGGGCCGTACGAAGTGTTCTGTAATACGGACACAGAAAATCAACAACCACAGACGAAGACAAGAAGAGGCGGAGGCAGTGTCATGAAGCAGCAGAAGCGGTAAAGAAAGATGCGGCAGTCGTAGGGACGGATAGAACATGAACGAACGAGTGGATGAGGCCAATTAGTGTTAAGAAGGCTGTACCTGAAAATTAACCCCTCCAGCTTCAGACGATGATGGCAAGTAATCCCCTACCAGGAGTATAATCAACCATTGCAGCCACGTTTGCCAGGGGGAGGAGCCAAGGGGGTTAGGTGAGAAGTTAGTGGGCCTAGGAGCTGGGAGTTCGTCGAGGCCCATGCGAGACGCAGTCGTCCTTACGAGTAGCTACTAGCTTGGGGGAGGATTTGTTGGTATTAGTGGCATTGCTAGTGCTGGGATGAGGTCGAGGGCGTGCAAACGCATGGATTATCATGATCTGTCAACGGGAGACGCCACAGGCGAAAACGACGAAGCCACATTGAGGAAGATGATCTGCATTGTGCAGGCAGTTGGAGTTGCAGTTGCAGTTGCAGTTGAGCGGGTGCACTTGCACTGGCACTGGCTGGCTGGTACAAGTACGTACTGGCTCTTCGACACTCCTGGACTAGGCTGTTGCGAGTAAACACACTCCTCCTGAGCATCAAAGCAAATTGGCGATACGATCCAAGCCGGATACTGTAGGCGCGAGGAGGGGAGGAGGGAGTGGTGGGTGGAGCTGAGCCGATTCCACTCCATTTCTTCTGCCTTCTCTCGGACCACAAGCTACGATCCGAATCGCCAGCACAGAGACAGTCGACCGACATATGATTGCAAGCAAGAGCCATGGAAAAGCTTCTCCACGCCTGCTTCTCCATGCCCACGCCGTTCCAAAGTCATGTCCATTTCCATCTCTGCCAGATAGTGGCCTCGAGGTCTTGAGGTCGCTTCGCTTAGGGTTCAAGGCTCATTGCCATGGCCTGTGGCTTATGGACAGAGGTTGGTAATGGTAGTGGTCATGGTAATGGTAATGGTCATGGTAATGGTCATGGTAATGGTCATGCTAATGCTAATGCCGTGGAAAGTCCCTGAAGATTGTTCAGCGTACCTGCACGTAGGTCGCCGACTCTCAACCTCGTCAACGCAGATCAAGGTGCTTCTCAGCCAGGCTGCAGGTAGAGGAAAACGTGGAGGGCGGTGGGAAGGAGTGCATGTCAGCGGGGAGACGGTGTGCCCAAGACAGATGAGATGCGATGCGATGTTAAAAATATGCAACTGATTCTGGGATTGACATTCGCAGAGGCATTCATTCATTGGATTCGCTTTGGCACTGGGATGGGAGTGGGGATGGGGATGTAGGGTTGGCATGTTTAGCATATAAGGTTACTACGAAGCATAGATGGAAACCAGGGGATGATAGGATATCTTACTGCACGGTAACTCATCAGGATGACAGTAATCACTATAAATCATGGGTCAGGATTACCAGCGTTGTCGTCGACATGAGTGAGATGAGGTCGCTTGGGTTGGTGAAGAGCCCCGGGGGTGTGGCATTGCATGGGATGGCATGCTGTGATGGGGATAAGGATGGGATCACAGGCTGCACACTGCACCATGACCACGTTAGGGATGCACGCACCATTTGAATTCCGGCTTCCGAGTGCCTGGGGTGTTGCAGCCGAACCCCTGGAGACTGGAGACTGGAGGCTGGAGTGAATTCCCCAATGTACTCCATAGCCCTGTACATGTATGCTCGCTCACGATCGTACATTACCTGTGAGTAGGAGTAGCTATTTTGGTATTTTGATATGTTGGTATGTTGGTGTTTTATTTTAGTATTTTAGTTTGGTCTTTTGTGCCGTACTGTACAACAAGCCTTGCCTTGCATTGCCGTGTCTGCCTTGTATTTCGTACCTACTCGTAACTATAATCTATTAGTCTATTTGTACCGAGTACGCCTTTGTCTGTACCGTATTTCACTTTGTACTTTTCCCTGGTACAATAGTACTAGAACCTTGCAGTATTGATTCGGCACTTCTGCAGCCTCACAACACCCTCAACAAACAGCACACTTCTTCAAGTTTCTTATTAAATATCACATTGTTAAAATGTTTGATATTGATTGTTTTTCACCAACTTATTAATAATTCGCCAATCAAGCTAATCGTCACTCGCTTCCCAAAAAGGCCTCATTCACCCCACGCTGTCTCCACAGTCACCCTGTAATATGCACGCTTCGGCCCATCGAGCACACTTCTGCTACAGTAAGCCTTGGCTCTCCTTGTTCCTGGTCCGCTCAACTCTTGGAGTCGAAAAGAATTTTCCGACGTACAACTGCAGGAGGCCAACACCATTATTAACTCAAACCGACCAAAAATTTGTTGACTGGGCCCAAGTAAGATTGAAAATTACCAAAATCTTACCACGAGGGAACCAGAATTGAAGAAGAATATTTACAACATGTGCAAAGTAACCCACACTTTGCGTGGCCCCCAAAATCAAATTTACGTAGGTACGTTCAAGTTGGCTGGAAGTAGCTGAGCCAAGAACCATCCTCTGGTTCGACTGGGTCCTGGATGGCGCCAACTAAAAACACTTGTACCTAGCCAAGGTACTCCCGTGCCTAGATCCTCCTGAAAAGTAAATCAGGATGCATTTCACATGCGCTACGCAAATCTACAAGGCTATCTAGAGGCCAGCACATGCAATTCGTTTCCAACAAAGGCACCGTTTGTGCTTGTTTCTTGCTATCTTGTCCATTTTGTCGATGTGTTGTCCCCGCTGCCGTTGCCACATGTCTCGCAAGGGGAACAAAGACAACAATGCCCCACAGTAAGACAGTCTGAGTTCTAGCACTGTATGTCTCGAATGGACTTTTATTGTCGGGGTAGTCATAGCAGAAAATTGAGATCCTCATATTGCATACCGTATGTCTTCTCTCATTTTTTGGAGTTGAACGTACAGCATTTTTTTAAGAATAGTGCTGACAACAACGTGGGCACAAAAGTCATAAATTTATCTTCGTCAATGGCTTATGCCACCCAGGTAGACTAGAAAGACTCGCTTATCAACTTAGTACAAGCAGCGAAAGCGTTGGAAGGCACTCAGCACTGTGTAGCGTTAGACGGTAGTGGGCCTTCCACTGAGAGGATGTTGTAGTGGAAACGGCGGAGCGACCCTTTTGCCTCTTTGGGAAAGTCAATACTTTGTGATCGTACCAATGAATGCAAGATCGTCGTTCCTAGCTCTGATCCTCTCCAGGGTGGCTAAAACAAGCCTTAAGTGATAGGGAAGTTGGCGGCTTTGCCAATAGGAGAATAGGTTGCGACCAAGATAGTGCATGCATGGTAGATCGATACTGTTTGTTTTTTCCAGGTTTATTGTCTTGGAGTCTCATGTATTCTCTTATCCGAGAATCTGCCTTCAGAGATCTCTCCGAAAGCTGCATTATCGTGATTTGAGGGCTCCTACGACCTATCATGGATTACCACAACCTTCTTTCCGTACGATGATTCTACCTTTGTTCATGTCATCAATCGGTGAGAATTATCAAACGCTCTAAAATAGACGACGAACAACTGCAGATCTCATGAGGAATTCAAAGCCAACTATCCAACGTCAGCCTCATCATGTGAGATGATGTTTCAACAAGTTCATTGTGGGGTGGGTTTGGGGTCTAGATTAGTCCAGCAACATAGATTCCACAAGTTCTCACCATGTAGAACCATCAAAGCAACGGCTTTTACATTTGAAAGTAGTGGGATCCTATACACAGGAGGCTAGTGAAGTCACCATCACACCCATCGCGGATGCTGCCGAGACTACCAAACCACTCTCTCGGCATACTCTAGGGCGTGTGTGGTGATACAAGAAAATATAGAGGCAAGGGATTTTGTGGGAAGAACTTCCTCAACTCGGCACAATGTTATGACGAGGATTGGATAATTGTTTAGGTATGTCGTGTGATAGTGGGTTTGGCGGCTGAGCAATATTTTGGAAACTCCTCCTTCCCTTGATAAACTTACGAAAAGGTATCAGATGTTTTTACCTCAAAGTAACCGAACTTTACCATCTCCTGCGGGGTTGTAGTACAACAACGCACTTCAGCCCACTCTCTCCCAACCTTACGCTCGTATATTCGAAACATCATGTAGTCATCGACATGGGGTTTTCGTAACCAAGATAAGGACGGCGCTTTCCAAACTCTCGTTGCGAAAGATCCAATCAAGAAAAATAATAGTTGCGAGTCCAAGAAATTGACATTCTCGCGTGCGCTCGCTTCCAAGCTTATTGGATTTCAGGAACAGGATATTTAATCACGCAGTGACACGCGCTATGACGTTTATTCTTGGGTCTCATTCTCATCTGCGTTACCGAAGGATTCAACTGTACATCCTACACACGTTTACCGGTGCAACTCGGCAACTTATTGGGAAGCATGAGAAACTTGTTTGTGAAACATACTCTTGCCCATTCGTATAGGGCTCAGCCTTAAAGCCGAAAAGTCGAATTGTCCCGTCTAATGTGAAACACACACCAGCCATAGCCTTCAGTATATCAAACCAATTAATTCTCCAGTCACATACAGGTCAATAAAGGTAAATCATTTCTATCAATCGAACCAAATCCCTATTACACCGCACATGATGAAATTGTGCCAGCAAGATCTACAAGCAACCCAAAGAGAGAAAGCAAAGCACAATAGCCGCCAATATCCCGCTAAACCTCAAAACCTTGAGCCTTAAAATGCATCACATCGCAAAATTTAAGAAGAAGGCGTGTCTTGAATCATGAACATCTCCACACACCAATCAAACCCCTTGCTGCACTCCCCTCCTCATATTGAGAACCTCAAATGTGACGCTCAATCCCTGTCTTAAATAACCCAATACGGCCCCCTTGACTCCGCCATCTTCTAAGCCACTGTCTCTCGTAACCTCTCCGAATTTTCCCAAGACTTCTTCCAACTTTCGTAACTCCCTTAATAGAATCTCCATTTCAAGCCACCTACCATCCTCTTCAGTAATCTTGTAGGTACCGAAAGTTAATGGCACTGGTTGAGGTTGATACGACGAGTGAGAAGGCACGTTATTGAAACCGAAATAATTTTGCGAGGCTGCCCGGTAGAATGCGAGGACCTTTCCGATGATAGTTGCCAAAAGCATGACGGATGTGTTAGAATTGAAGCCAATGATGCACTTCGAACAATCGAGCATCATAGCGCAACTGTCGATAGCACGTCGGTTCACACTCAAGACGACATCAAAGGAGGGCGCGGGAGTTGTGTTGATTGTATGATTGTGGAGTGCTTGTAGAGCCTGAAGCGAGATATTGAAGCAATTGCAAGACGTAGCTGGCGCATTCGCCATAAATTCATTGCTCGTAAATGGATTTGGATCCTTTTGAAAAGAGGGTCCAATGTTTGAGATCGGACCAAACATCAACATGTCGTTTTGACCTTCAAACCAAGGTTCTAGAGTTGAAAATAATGGGATATCAGCGGCCGATTTTGATCGAGCGATTGCTGAATGGAAATTATTCCCTGGTCTCATGCTTGGGTTCCACGGATAAGGAGTTTCGTACGTCGTTTCTGTGCCTGATCCCCCACTTACTGACTCTGGCGTTGTGCTTGAATCGCGTACCATGGAAGGCACTGTTGATGATATCGACCGGCGATGAGCCTTTGAGCTTCCTTGGTTTTGAAGCGGTAGCCAGCTTGTATGAACCCCAAATGTTGCAGAGTCTTCAGAATATGGAATATGTGGGTCGTGATTGAGAGCTGTATAAGTGATGGCGGAATCTTCATACAAATCACCCAGTGGACTGCTTGTTGATGTGTGATCGGCTGACGAGTTCACAACAGCTTTGGATTTTCCTGTCCGGCATGAGGGGCTATAACCACATTCCGCGCCGGTTGTCAAGCAACGAGAGCATATCGGCCGTTCCTTGCTGCATTTGACTTTTGCTAGAAAACATCCATCACAGGATGCTCGTAATTTAGGCTGGCGTTGCTTGGAAGTGTTTTGAACTTTGGACATTGTGCGTTGGCCGTTTTTCGAGTGGGCGACGAGTGCTGGTGGATTCGATTGCTAAATTGCAAGAGGTCAGGAATTTATCAGAAAAAAGGTGGTAACAGATGGCAAGGAAGAATAACAAATTCTAGAATCTAGAGTCTAGAAAGGTAGAAAGCAAGTAAAACAAGGTTGGCAAATCTAATATATGTAATAATCGAAAGTGACAAAGGGAGTAAACTATCAAGTAAGGGAATCTGATTTGCTGACTCCAAAAGAAACAAACCTTAACGGGCCGGGTAACTTGAAGAATGCTAGCTGAGTATTATGACCTTGTAACCGAATGATAGGGGGGTTTGGGCCATGTTGCTCTTTCAAGATCTCAGCATGGATCTCTCCCACACACGTCAGACTGTGCCCATGACGGCCGATATTCTACTTGAATTGACAACAGGCAGGCATCGATAAGCATGCACGGAAGGCACGTCCGCTGCACAGACAGAGATGTGTGGAAAAAAGCCCAAAACTGCTTGATCACGTTTCTGGCGTAAACGGATATAACGGACCTCCGAGTATCTTCTACAAACTGCCTCGGACGAAAGTGAACGTGTACTTGTTGACGGGCCACTCTCACGCTAGTTTTGGTTCAGACGCCTATGTCTCTTTCGAAACTTTTGACATTCTTAGTATGAGGCTCAAAGCGGTTGGAGGAAGCCACAACAAACTGCTCCGAAAGCCAACAATGTCCGTGGCGCGCCCTAAAAACAGGGAAATAACAAACACGAAAAGCCCTCCAAGATTTGTCAAAATAAAGAGAGATCAGCGGAAAAGAGGCTCGTTTGGTTTCTGGCAAACGGTAGAAACGGTTTGCCAACATAGCGAGAGGTTAGCTTTTGCACACAACTTGATCTTAAAAAAGTATAAATGGCGAGAGTATTTGACATGAAATGGTTACTCAGACTGCCGATCACTTCTTTATCATGTTCCAAGGAATTCGAGATACTAACTCGGGGTCCACGCGAGAACGCATGGCCTGGGCTGGGATCGCAAGATGAACCTTCCTGCTCGTAACTCTCACCACCCGGGAGGCTCGATTCGCATGAACATATGCATATGCAGCATTCCAGGTCGCTGGAACAGATTGCTGCGTATTTTTGGTTACAGCATCAAACATTATAAGGAGCAAGACATGTGGATATTGCTCTGTGTACACCAAAGTAAACTCGACATTGTACCAAAAGGCTTCCCATTGTCGGTTTGACCACCTGAGAGAAAACAAACAATTTGTTGTTGTAGCCATTCTAGCACAATTTCTTCTCAGAAGAACACGGCCAATGATTATCTCGTCGTTTTAATGTAGCCCTGTAATCTTGGACAATTGAAAGGTAATTAGGAAAGAAAGACATGGAGTCCTAGTAGAGTTAGGAATTAGAAGTGTTTTATTCCGCAACGGGATGGAAGGTTGATCCTCCTGTAAAGAGAGTTGAGGCTTGCAGAAGTTATGTGAGTTGTCAAAAGCCAGTCCACCTTACTCTATGAAGATATTGGAAAGGGATGTCTCGCAGCTGGTACAACGTTCACAGCGTACAGTTCCATTGGTGGCGCATCTTAGCTCCTAGTGTCCGTTCTCGAGTAACTTCTCCATGTGGTAGCCGACCAGCCCGGTGGTTGGGAACAAGCATTGGTAAAGAAGTGGTGTTCTGGTGTATTGTACTTGTGTGGCTTGTATACTTTGAAGCAACCCGGTACATCCTCCTTGATGTTCCTGACAAGACCTGTCGACCCGGGCGAGCACTAGTACAGGGGCGGGTCGAAACGAACCCGTAGTTGAAATGAGGCCATCTCCAGTTTGTGACTAGGATGCGATGATGGCAAGATCCGAATGTCACCCATTACGTGCATCCATAGTAGGGTACATTACCGGTAGCCTACCGGTGTAGCCACTTGCTAGACCAATCAAACTCAACCACGGAGAATTTTCCGTTACTCAACATCATCCATTTATACGGGAGCAAAAAACAAATCCTCCGATAGTGAATCCAATCAGTATTGAGTAGCTTGTAATCGACCTTGAAAATCCTTTTTTTTTATGCCCAGCTACCTGGTGATGCATAATATCGGCCATTTCGACAGCTCGTTGCCACACAAATCATTGGGACACATTGTAACACACACCCACCATTTCGCGTGTCGTTTGCTTATACACCGATACACAGCATACAGAAGAACGTCATGTCATGTGCTACTGTGGAGGCTTGCTCCGAGAACCTACTTAACCGACTGCAATTCATCAGAAGAAACGTGCATCATCGAACATTCTGATAAGCAATCATCCCTCAGCATGTACCCTGCTACTTTATCTATAACCAGTGGTTCGATTATTAAGAAAAGGTTTACGGTGAGGTAGTGGCATGATGAAAATTGTTTCCCCTCAGCTTGGTATTACTGTAATCTAAAGTGCACCCATTTCAGGAGCAATTAGACGAACATTACTTGCTTCATAAGTCTTTTCAATTATCTATAGCCTGGAAGCAAATCCCGAAGTTCTGTATGATTCCAAAGTCTTTGTCAGAATTTACAAGTATACCATGAAGATTGGCGCTTACCGGATCAATAAGCGTGATATGAAATGTTTCTAAAAATAGAGCCAAATGAGAACCGTTACCAGTTGATGCAAGGTCAACTATGGTAACTTTGGTGTTTCTTTATATTGAAAGCCTTGGCTACAACTGTATTCTCAAGGGAGGCAGCACCTTCTTACTGTAATCGAGGATTTGGAATGCCTAGAAAATCTGATCTCAGCAAATGCTATTTGAGCTATAATTCTATTTCGCTTAAACCCATGGTAAAGGGCTTGCAGTAAGTTTTGGCTGAAATGTTGTTCCAAAGTCTAAAGAGACAAGCTTTTAATAAACTATCTGCGTGGCTTGCAATTGTGAATACTGTGCCTCATGACGGCGCCAGAGAGGTGTATTTGTTCTTATTTAAAACCCAAAGAGTCTGGCTGAATGGTATCCCAAAATAGCCAGTGAAGCTGACAACGCACTAGAAGAATCATGATGGCTGCGAGCCTTCTTTCTTACAGCTAGGTATTGCCTTATATATGGGAAAATAAGTCTTCAACTGTTTCGAAAATAGTGAACCAACTTATTATGTCACCAATATGAGAATAGACTGACTCTTTCGTCCATTTAACTAATCAGTAACAAACCGACTAATATCTTAAATCTGGAAATTCGAAAATAGTGACGAGAATAGTGCTCAATCTGTACGTAACTACAGCCCTATACATAGAGCAAACACTACCTTCAATTCAACGAAGACACACATCCCTGTCAAATAGGCGGTGCTATTTGGAAAGTTTGTATGGATCGTATCTTAGAGATAGAAAAACATTCCTTTGAAGGAGCTTGACACCTTTTAACATTTCTGATTCTCATATTTGGTACCTGTGAGAACACGAACTGAACTTCTACTTATCGCAAGTACCTCTTTGATCACCATACCTACTCGAACCCTGAGAATTATTACCATTCAATAAGGGTTGAAAATACCTATCAAGGAAATACAGAGCGCAGCTATACAAAAATTGGTAAAACAAGCTTTGAAGGTAATATTACACCGCAGGATATATGTAAACTTTCTTTTTATTACAATGCTGGTTTGCCTCCTTATATCTGCAGATTACAAGATAGCCGTTCTAACGTTCCATAAGCTTGAATTTAAGTCATTAGCCTACATCACACACTTTACTAAGCCGAGAAATTCTAAAATTGCCATTGACAAGTAGCGTTAAGGTACTGAATTTGTTTTCACGCTCGTCCCAGCGTGAGAGTAAATTAAATGTGCTGACCACTCAGAACGAAATTAGCCTACGAGTAAGATGAGGATTCGCGTACTCAAGAGAAATAGCTGAAACAGGAAGGCGATGCCTCAAGTTGGTAAAAATGTGGTGAGCGATTATATTTTGGTAGTAGGAAAAGGTGGCAGGGGCAATGCACCAGCTCATGTTGTTCCTTCTTTCTAGATGGAATTAAAGTACTGAAATTGGGTCTTTTAAAAATTTCTGTCATCCTAGACTCGATGAGTTGTTTTGGTTAATCGAACGGATTGGACAAATTTCAGACTATAAAATTAGATACGGTGCTGAAAGAGTTACTTACTACTATCTCTTCTGTTCATAAGTTAATTAAGTAGATACAATCATGACATTCGAGCTAATGGGATTCGGTGAAAAAGTCATCCAGACGGAAATTCTCCATTATATAGTTAGGTGTTAGCGATAGGCCTTCTAACACTTAATGGATATCTCCCAAACCGCCCGGGGGATTTCTCACGTAGATCAAGGACGTGCACGACTCTTTTGGTGTAAAATTTGGTGTGAAAAATAACGAGGTGCATTTCCCTGTGAGAAAAACCTCCGGGCGGTTTAGGAGGTAAGACAATTAGGCGAAACTCTATACACAACTTAACAGTCCATTAAGCTAGAACTTTTAAAACAGTTATCTTCATGGTCCTAAACCACTTAGGCTAATGAAGATATATTGACTTGAATTGTCCTAATTCGCTCGCATAACCATTCTCATGATTATGGTGATTTTCGAATAATATTATTCTACCCCAGGTACGTCCAGATTTTCGCCCAACTGTCTAAACCCCTTACATTAGAAAAGAAAGATAATTATAAAAATATACAAAGAGTACCAGCTAACCCATAAGTTCGAAATTATATATACAGTAGTAACTCTTAACTTGGAAGCTCCTCTTGTGTTATAAATATGATACACCGCTACGAGATTGTAAATGTCGATTCACCTAGTATTCGTAAAGAGCGGGCATGAGGGGTTAAAGGATTCAGTCCTTATTCGGTAGTGTCTAATTACTTGAGCAAGAGAAGGTCGTACAAACCCTTCCATATATGCCAGTGTCAGGTCACGTGATTAAACAACGTGCGGATGTTGCGAAGGTCAAAGAGACCATTTTGAGGCAGGACATACTTCCTGTCTCGGTAGAAGGGGCTCTTTGAGAAATATTTTGTTGTTAGATTCATTTGAACAGTCCGAGAAACCAGAGGATTCATAGACAAATTCCAAGGGGCCGGTGTAGCAATACCTCACGATGATTGATATATGCCAGATTTCAAGCAAGTGAATATGAAGACTCGTAGCCTAGAGTGCAAAACATAACGTTCTATATATAAAGAAAAGCTATTTGATCCAATTTGAGTAGACAACAGAACGGTTTATAAGCCTTGAACGCTAAATCCCAAACAACCAGACAACAAAAAATCAAAGAAATCACAAGCATTGAAGACATTCCTTCCTACTTCATTGCTATCGACCCCTCTATACATCCCCCCAAACAAAAGAAACTCATGAAGAACAGAAACGAAGAGAACAAAAACAAATCTACGATTCTTCCAAAATAGCTCCGCGAATAATCTCTCCGAGCTGACGAGCCTGATATTGTGTTAGTGGCGGATCAATGTAAAGAAGAGAAGTTGACTTACCAAATCTCCCTTCATCATACTGAAGTGGTTTCCTGGCATATGTCGAGTGACAAGTCTCGAAGTATTGACGTACTTGTCCCAATGGTTGGGTCCGAAGTCAGTTCGGTTGTCGAGCAAGAACTGAGCATGTCCATAAGGGAAAGGGTCTGGACGAGGGTCTGTTGGGAGATGGCAGACGCCATCTTCACACCAAATCGCAGTGGTAAAAGGCGATTTCTTGGAATCGATCGGTTCAGCTGTATAGTTTGACAGAGCATTGACCGAAGCAGCGAAATGGGGGAGTAGCCAAGGTGGAAGTTTGGTGAAGTCTCCATCACCGAGGAGTCCGATCTCACCAAACCACTTGTGAAGGGATGATGGAAGTGGTTCGATGATGTCTGGACAAGGAGAGTCGATGAGGATCAAGTGCTCAACCACATCACCATTCTTGACCAACTGCCTGCTGGCCTCGAAAGCGATGACTCCACCTGCACTCCAGCCTGCGAGAAGGTAAGGACCAGTTGGCTGGCGACGTTTCATCTCTTTGATGAAATGTGTAGCCATTCCAGACACGCCGCAATTATATTCTTCAGGGACCTTCATGTATGGAGAATTCAATCCCCAAACAGCAACATGAGGTGCGATCTCTGATATGGTCGTGTAGGAGGTCGCGGACCCACCGCCGTCAGGAACCATCCAAAGATGCTTGGTAGCTCTCTTCGAATTTCCTTGCAGCAGCACTGATGTCGCTAGGCGCTCAGGCGTTGACTTAGCGGGTGCAGACTGTGATGGTGCGACTTTGGCAGATTTGACAACTTTGGCAGGCGCGGTGGGCTTCTGAACGCCCACGTTGAGTGACTTCTCAATCGCTTTGATGGAGGGGTTGTTAGCAAGAAGATCAGATGGCAGTGACATGCCAGTCTTCTCTCGAAGTATGCCAAGGATCGTCAAACTCATAAGCGAGTCCATGCCCATAGTGGAGAGATCATGAGCATCGATGATTTCTTCAATATCAACACCCATTTCGCCGGCGATGGTCGTGCGGATAATGCTTTCGAGCTCAGAGTCACCGACTAACGACTCCTTGCCAGACTCTGAGGAGCTTTCATCCGGTGTGGTGAAATCAGTGTCATGGTCTTCTTCCAAATCAGGAGTCGTCTGTTCGTGGCTTGCGGGTGAGTCCAAGCCTTCGGTTGGTGTATCCTTGCGCTCGTACTTGCTCAAGAATAGCTTGAACTCACCAATTGTGGGATGATCAATGAATGCATTTGACGGAACATCAATCTCAAGTTCCTCGCGCAGTCTTCCGCAGACAGTGAGAGCCATCAACGAATCGCAACCAAGATCGGAAAATGCGATATTGTCCACAAGCTCGTCTAGACTGACACCTATTTCAGCTGCAAGAATATCCATGGCGCCTGAGCACACTGATGCGAGCCTCTTGTTGACAGTTGAGATAGTCTTCATAGTAACTTGAGCGGTCTTGGAAGGCTTCTTAGTGGCAAGTTTGAGGGCAGGTGGTACTTGACGAGGTGCGGGGCGAGCAGCCGGTGCGGCTGCACCGACAGGTGGCATCAACATGTTGAGAACACGGCGTTGAATGCACTGGAACTTGAGACCTCCAACCATAGCAATAATGCGATCTCCATCGAAGACAAAGACATCTCCAACAAGAACCTTCTTCTCTGCTGGCTGCATTCGTACATACGATCGATACTGCTTGTCAACAGAGAGCGGCTCTGCAACTCTCAGTGACTGCCACCCGTGACTGATATAGACATTTTCTTTGGAATCCACAGCGTCTGAGCCATTGACAATGAAGCCCGAGATGTGGGCAACACTATCAATCCAGTATGGACTGCACATGAATGTTCCATCCTCTGGTGTCGTCTGGAAAACGACGCGAGAAGTAGCCTCCATGTTCTCGCTATGGAGGATAACCTCCTCCATGCCCCGGTATCGCTTATCGTAGTCAACAAGCGCAGCGAACAGCTTGTACGCTAAGCCTCGTCCAATCTTGTGCGCCTCGCCCTCCGCCTCTGCTTTCTTGAGCCAGTCAACGCGAGACTGGATGAGGTAAGACTGGCGCTGCCATTCTGCAAGGTAATCTGCTCTGTTGCCAAACAAAACTTTGCAGTGAGCGTGCTCAACCTTATCCTTTCCAGATCCACTTGAGTAGACAAGATCGGCAGATCCAAGGCGTGTGTCGCAGGTGACACTGAGAGTCAAGACTTGGGATTTTCCACCAGGATCCGCAATCAGAGACTTTGGCACTTCCATATGGTTGACATCCATGACAAGATCCTTGACGTCTGGGTCAATCAATTTGTATGCATACTCGCAGACAGTCAATGCCATGTCACCGTACAAAGAAGATGGACAGAGGTATGCACCATTGACAACATGTCCTGTAACGAGAGGTCGGATATCAGGTCTGGAAATATCTGTCTCAGTGACCACAGTAGCGATCTTATCATTGATGACTTCTTTAACGACGTTGTGAATGCTTGTCGTAGATAATCTTGGCTTTTGTACTGCCTTTGGAGCTGGCAGGGCAGCCGCTGGAGTGCGACCCTTGTTCAGCGACCAATCACCCTCGTACTGGATCCAGTAGTTTTTGTCATCGTAAGAATAGCTTGGTAGGTCAAGTAGGCGAACGGAGTCAGAAAAGTCACGATGATACTCGTTCCAGTCGATGTTCGCACCGGCCGTCTGCAAGGCACACAAACTGGAGCAAATTGTCTTATAAGGGTCTTCCTTTCTTCGTAGAGAGGGTGCTGTAATGGTGGTGGCGCCAAAAGTTGCCTTTACCATGCCTGAGCAAACGGAGTGTGGACCGACCTCGACCCAGACCGTCTTTTCGTTGATGAAACCAAGTTCTTGAGCAGAGACCAGTCCACCGAGGAAGTTGACGGCGTCACGAGCGTGTCTTCTGAGATAATCTGGTCCGACTGAGTGAGCGTCAGTAATAGGGCGGCTCAGAAGTGGTGAGATCAATGGGATGTTAGCCTTATCGAATCGCACAGATGATGCAAGTTTCTCGAAGTCATCTAGGATGGGGTCGACCTGAGCAGAGTGGAATGCAAAAGGCACTTGGAGCTTGGTGCACTTGAAGGCAGCCTTTGTAAGTTGATCGGCAAGATCAACCATCTCGGAAGCCTCTCCGGCCAATACAGTCTCCCGTGGGCCGTTAATGCAGGCGACGCTGAGTTTGCCTGCCATGTGCGGTAAGGCTTCAGTGATAGTTTCGACAGAGCCATGGATAGCGAGCATTGCGTGCGTATTGGCAGTGCATTTCTCGACGAGCAACTTGGCTCTTGATCCAACCAGGAAGATTGTGTCGCTCACTGACAATACGCCAGAAACGCAGAGTGCGGAATATTCGCCCAGACTATGGCCAACAAGAACACTTGGAATGATTCCCCAAGACTCCCATAAGCGAGCCATGGCAATTTCGAAACAGACCATACCGATCTGAACAACAACAGGCGACAAGGTAGATACATCTGGCTCGCTTCCATCAATTAGTGGTATGAATGATGGGAAGCCATGAATTCTACTGATGTTGTCAAATTCTTTGATGTTGTCTCGAAAGGTGATTGAATTGGCATAGAGATCTGATCCCAGACCAGCATAATGCGATCCTTGACCAGTGAAGGTAAATACAATCTTTGGAGCTGTTGGAAGAACAGGCACAAACGTATCGTTCATCTTGCTCTGAATGGAGGCTTTGGCCTGCTCTACGTCAGAGGCAGAAATCGTCATGCGCCAATTGTGCTGGATCCGTCGTGCAGTAGTTGTATAAGCAAGATCTGAAATGGTGATTTTTGGATTGGCATCCAAATACTCGACCAATCTAGAAGCATTGCGCAACATTGCAGACTTAGACTTCGCTGTGACGGATACCACATGCATGGAGCGAGGATCGACGCAAGCAATGTTATATGCTGGGCCATCTTCGAGTAGAAGACCCGTGTTACCACCAGCTGCGCTGAAGTTGTTGACGAATACACGACGAGGCTGACCAGCTCTTGCACGCAGAGGGGTCTTGTGAAACGCAATGTTGACGTTGCGCTCGGAAAGGTCTTTGGGAAAGCCTTGATTGATGACGCCCTTAATGCCTACATGGGGTGGGATGGCATTTTTCTGAAGCATCATGAGGACCTTGATGAGAGCCGTTACACCTGAAGCTGCCTCACCATGGCCAACATTTGCCTTTATAGCACCAAGATATAGAGGCTGCTCGGCGGTTCGCTTTCGATCAGCTGGAGCGAAGACGTTTGTGACAGAGACCATTTCGGTACCGTCTCCAGCCTGGGTTCCTGTGCCGTGCATCTCGACGTAGTCAATGTCAAGTGGGTCAACACCCGCTTTTCGGAGAATGGAACGATAGAGAGCTTCTTGAGTGCCTCCATGGGGATGCGTGATGGATACAGCGTCAGCAGAGTGATTTGTTGCCGTACCGAGAATAACAGCCAAGATGTTATCCTTATCTGCCTGAGCATCCTCAAGGCGCTTTACGATGATGGTACCAACACCGTCTGCTCTGCAGTATCCATCTGCCTCGTTGTCGAAAGTTGCACATGGACCTTTCTTCGAGAGAAATTGACCACGACTCAACCCAGCGAAAATATCGCTGTTCGTCATGCATGACAACCCACCAACAATGGCAGTATCACAATCTTTGGCCCACAGCGAAGTGCAAGCCAACTGGAGTGCTGCCGCACTGGAAGAGCAAGCAGTATCGATATTGAAGGAAGGACCACTAAAGCCGAAATGGTAGTTGATTCTGCCAGGACCGAAAGCTCTAACTCCTCCGGTGATATAGTATGTATCTACATCCTGAGCTGCGTTAATCTCACGCCAATCGTCAGAAGTCTGACCATAGAACGTGCCAATACGGTCCAACTTAGTCGAAGGCGTCCTGTTCGGAATATAACCCGACATCTCTAGAGCCTCGAAGGCAGTCGTGAGGGCCATCCTCTGCATGGGATCCGTTTGGAACGCCTCTCGTGGTGACATATTGAAAAACCGAGGATCAAAAAGACCGGGGTTTTCGATCCAGCAACCAAATGGTGTGTGACTCGTATTCTTTGTTTTGCCTGTAGGGTCGACATGTGTTTCGACAGGGAATCGATCCTTAGGGACCTCTCTGTGGACAGAGAGACCCTTTTCAAGAAGTTCCCACAACTTTTCGTGGCTTGCGGCGTCGGGAAATCTACCAGCCATACCGACGATGGCTAGCTTTCCTGTGCTAGAAAGCCCACTGCCGATATTTGGTGCAGAATCACTGGCTGAAAATGGTGCTCGTCGCAGAATGACATCTACCTGAGCTTTTGTTTTGAGGAAATCAACTACAGAGTTGGCGATATCGGTTGGCCCAATTGGGATGACCAAGCACCGAGAACCATTCTCGGGAAGTTTCTGTGCGTCTAGAATGTTCTGGAGTCGCACACATCTCGTCAAAACCTCGAGGGTTATCTGCTCGAAGAGCTCGGATGAGCTTGAGGCGTTGAAAGATTGCCCAGTAGATGATGACAATTGTATGCAAGGGCAGCAGGATTTCAATACATAAGAATCCCGAAGCCGCAAAAACTTCTCGACCTGTACCTCAGGGTAGAGGTGTGGAGCATGGTAAGCGCCGTATACAGGTAACGCTGTTGGCGTTGACTTGAAAGCGTCCGAGGACCACAAGCCTTTTAATGTAGATGGAGGTCCGCTAATCGATACAGATGTAGGAGTTACAGAAGTAATATATGCGCAAGCTGCAGGAGAAATTTGCTGTAAAGATGTTAGCTAGTTTAGTTACACGTTGTCAAAATGCTTACATTGGATTCATTAAAGTTAAGAATGGCTTTTAAACTTGATAGTTCATCACCTGAAACGGTGTATGCCCAAGAGCTGGCATTGTCGCTACTACCGCTAAGCTGCCCAGACAAAGTTGAAATAAAACAACCAGTTCTGAAAGAGAGTATTGATGCTTGCACCGCAATGGGCAGAAGGGATGAAAGAGATGGCGAGCATGATACAGCAGCAGCAGCAAACAGGCCAATGCCAGTACCGACGAGAGTGGTGGTATCAGGCGATGTGAAGTCCTCTGGCACCTTTTCAGCGCGTCTACAATAAAGTTAGCGTGGGCGTCAAATGGAAGTATTCAAGTGTAAACTTACTCGAGATAATGTGCTAATTGAGTGATACACAACAAAGCACCTTCAACACCCGCGTGCTTAATTCCTCTATCATGATATCGCTGGTTCAAATCCTCGATGCTGACGAAGTGTGGAATCTTGTTTCTTTCCAAATTTGACAAAGATTGAATTTCTCTGGAGAGCGCATCGCTGACTTGGTCAAGGAATGTTTTTGAGAGAAGACTAGGTGAACTATGATGACAGAAGTTGGCAAGGAATGAATATGTGTCGACCGAATGGTCTCCAAAAAGTATGAATGCCATCTTGCTAAGTGTCTCCGACTTTTGGGGAGATAAGAAGATGAAAACTCGACCCTGAACAGATACAGACCACAAATGAAAAGGCTGAGCGGGTTGGCATATTATATTCATTATCAAAACACAGAAATAAGACTAAGGCCATGATAGCTCCAGGTCCACGACCAAGGAGTTGGTATCTTGAGACCGACGATCTCACATGGCACGCACATACCTGACATTCGGGCCTGAGCCATTGTATTGCCCCGTCGTTCTAAGACCGAGACGGACAGTGGGTAGATGATGTTCAATACATTTCGTCCAATACGGAGGGAGAATACGAGAGCAAAAATGGTTATAGCACGATATCTGCCATAAGCTTGAGAGCGTTTCAGGGGAAAGCTATTTGCATCCTGTCCGCGAGCTATTTCTCCGACGGAGTTCCCCAAGCCACCAAATCTTGAATACCAGCCTTGCTATTCATACCAATGCTAGAATTTACGATAATGAGGCGTGGAAAGATAGGCTTCCGCTCGGAGGTCCTCTAACAATGTCAAAAAAAAAAAACCGTACCATTTGTCAGCAAGTACCAAAGAAACGTTCCCTTGGTAAACCGGCTAACTAGTATGGGTTCTAGTCAGAGAGGCCGAAGTAAATATTAGTCGAAACATGTCTCAATGAAGGGATGGCACACTACGAGCTAGCACAAGAACAGAATTGCACGTACTACACGGGGTAGACCAGAGATCCAACTGAGAAAATGGTGTAGTGTTGGTGTTGATTCAAGAGGCGCGGGAGTCCGTGTAACATCGTTACATGATCGACACCCCAGTACCCAGGCACCAACTTCTCCACTGATGTAAGACAAGCGCCACAAACGAAGCACCAACGCCAATGCTGGTGCTGAGTAGACAGACGAAAGGGTTGGATTAGAAACATCCCATCACCGAGCCGTGCATATCTCAGCACGGTCTAAGGAGTAATACTGACAGATTTAGATCCTTGGGAACTTGTTGCGATCCAATTTTTTGCAAAGCGAACAAATAAAGATCGTATACTGCATCCAACCCCCATACAACCCCAGGGAGGGTTTGTATACTTCCGGCCATGCTGATCTGCTCGTGCGTATCCTTACAGTAGTCCATTATGTAGCCACTAAGCCCTGGTAATTTCTTGCTTGAACATAGTCAACATTAGAATCGTATAAACAGCGCAGGTCCAATTTCCAACGAACAATCCCAGCCGCAGAATTATCCAGAGAAAAGAATCACAACATGGCCGCGTTCATTTCAATTCTTGTAGTTCTGGTACTGGCCGTCATTGTATACCGCTACTGGTATAGTACCCGAAAAGTATTGCCGCCTGGGGTGCGTCCACTTCCAGGACCCAAAGGTACACTAGGCGCATATGTTCCCTCATGGCCTTATTGTTCCTTATCTGACGAATTCTCGATCTAAACAGGACTTCCTTTCATCGGTCGAGTACACGATGTACCAAGCACAGCCACGTGGTTGAAATTTTGGGAGTGGTCGCAGGAATATGGGCCCATCTATCAAATGGAAATCTTTGGTTCGGTGCACGTCTGGATATCATCCGAGCAAGTAGCCAACGACTTGCTATCGAAACGTGGATCTGTATACTCCGATCGACCGAAAATTCCCAATTTACCAGATAATCGAACAAGCGGTGACTACATGCCATTACTTGGCCGAAATGGTAAGATTCAATAACGAATAACTTGCACTGCAAAACCATGAGCACTAATGCAATGCGCTGACAAACAATCAGACATTTGGAAAAGACAACGAAAATTTGCCCATCATATCTTCTCACGTGCACAAAACGAATCACAATACGCATATCCAACCTTGGAGCGTAAGAGGCTGCTTCACGAGCTTCTGAAGAACCCTTCAGATTACGTTTACCTCCTAGAGGCTTATACTGGGAGGACAATTTCTCGCCTAGCTTGGGGTTCTGTAGCACCAGCACCACAATTGAAGATAGATGCTTTTGGACTTTTGGAGGCTATCAGTCCTAGTGGGGCGCTACCGAATGTCATCGCGTGGTTGGAACACTTGCCCGCATGGCTTAGGTAGGCCAAACTGTCATCTCGGAGAGCCTGAAAGCTAACAGATTGCACAGCCCCTGGCAGAAAACGGAGAAAGCGCGTCACGATGCAGAAAACGTATTTTTCCAACAGTCCTTGAGAGATGTTCACGATGCGGCCTCTAAGGGAGAGATTAATCCCAGCTATGCAAAGACCTTCCTGGAAGGAAAGGAGAAGGGCGGTTGGGAGCATGAAGAATGGTCTTATCTTGTAAGCAATTCATTCAAGCCATCATGGGCCTTGTTGTAGATGCTAATATTTCAATGCGTAGATTGGTATGATGGCAATTGCTGGTGCACTGACGATTGCAAGTCCATTGCAAACATACATTTTGGCTATGGTTCACCACCCAGTATGGCAAGCAAAGATGCAGGAGGAGATTCAAAGGGTTTGTGGGGACCGGTGTCCCGAGTGGGAGGATCGCGCGAATTTACCGGTTGTCCGGTCGGTGGTCAAGGAGATTTTGCGTTGGAGACCTCCAGTTCCAACAGGTTGGTCGTGGCTGTTTCTTGCGCTTGGACCATGAGCTAAAAGATTCTAGGCATTCCTCATCGGCTTGAGAACGACGACATTTATGGAGACTACTTCATACCTGGTGGAGCCACCATCCACGCCCTCGAATGGTGATCATTCCGTCGATTTTGGTTTGGTGTTAGATGGTGCTAACTTCCAGCAGGGGAATTTGTCGTGATCCAGTAAAATATCCTGATCCAGAAGCATTCCGTCCAGAGCGCTGGCTTGACCCTTCATTTCCTTCATATCGCGAGCCACTCACAGAATTCCCTAACCTCAAAAATCACCACCAATTCGGCTTCGGTCGCCGAACTTGTCAGGGAGTTGAGATTGTTGATCAGGAATTGTTTCTCGTCATGTCTGGAATGGCATGGGCCTTCACCATCCAGAAGAAGAAGGACGCAGCAGGGAATGAAGTCGAGGTTCCATGGAACAAATACACCAGCTTGTTGATTGCGAAGCCGGATTCGTTTGAATTTGACATGATTGTTCGAAGCGAGGAAAAGAGGAAGACCATTGTGCAGGACGGCGAGGCGGTGGAGAATGTTTAGCATGTGGGTCGATGGCAAGATATAGTTCCTGACAAAGGTATATAAATTGGCGTAGCGATCTCAATGAAATCGTTCTTAGATAGAAATTCAATACTTGTTTTTTGCCCTCGAACAAGATTATTGATTGCGTCTTATGCCTTGCGCGTCCCAGCTCCTCCCCCTTCTCGTGTCTTTCTCATGTCTCTGGGTCCGAAGGGTTGCGTCTCGCAATCCTCATTGTTGTGTGGTATCTGTGAAAAGCCGCGCGCGCAGATTCGTCAAGTTGTACTTCGCTGAGCTATACCGATTCCAAGTCCGGATACCGATAGATCAATCCACCACAGAAACAGCATGCTACGCTGGAGAATTTGCCACAATCAATCCGGGGAAGGTTCTGCTGTAATGCTCTGGTCTTGCGTCCAAAGGGCGTTCGAGATTGGTTGAGCAGGAGCTCTACTGCAGGCTTTCGTGGGCAAGGCTGGTCGTGAGAGGCTGGACGGGCATTTAACGAACGCCGCATGCACCGAGAGCTGCCGATAATCATCGTGATCAATGTAGAGAGGCGGGCATGTGTTGGGATGAGGGTTCGGTGGTTAGCGATCAATTCCGCTGTCGTTGATGGAGTTGCAGAGTTGTCTCAGGAAATGGGCTGACCGCCAAGATAAACTTCAACCGAGGTCGACGCCCGTATGATTGGAAAACTGTATATATGGAAATTCGTAACCTTGTTGATCACGTATACATGTTCTGCAATGGCATGGCATGGTTTTAGCTTTGTGATAGAGTTGAGAAATCAACGTAGTCCGAAGTCTCATATATTCGAAAAAGCAAAATAATTATCATAGACACAAACCTGATTGCATCAGTGGCTGTATTTCATTCCACCCAACACATTATCATGCTTCAGGGATGCATTCTAAGAGTATCTTCGAGTGATGATTACACCTGGTTTTAAATTACGTTGCACGTCTCAAAAACATGTGATAAACGTTATAGAGGCAATATACACAAACAATGTCATGTAGGATTAAGTGATTAAAAGGGGACACAACAGCTGCAGATAGCATCCTACCCTCCATCATTTCCCCACACAGCACCATCTTCGAACCACTCAATCTGTGACTTCAAGACGACGATTTCTCATCGCAATAGCAACAGCTCTTTCCACATCCCTCCCAGTACGCGCTCGGACACGAGAACTCAGGGACAATTCCGAGTCCGAGCGACGGATGCTTGGTTCCTCAGCAGGCAGTTCAGGAATTAGAAAGATACCTGGAGTCACTGCGGGGAACGGAGTGTAACGATTCATACCGAGCGGATTCTGATTAGGCTGACCTATTCGAGATTCTCTCTTTTCCCGCCTCAGTGATTCCACCGGAAGCTCAACCGGGCCCACCGATAAGTCAGTTGAAGGTTCAGAGGGAAGTTCAACAACCAGCTCTTCATCAAGGGAAACACCATTACGAACCTCGAGTCGTTCAGCTCTGGGTTTATCTCCGAAATATCCAGATATTAGACTCATGGCATTCATATCTCGAATGGTATTGTAGTAGGACTCAGGTTCAGAATCCGAGGACTCGCTAATTTGAAGCGAGGGCTTACCAACCAATGTTGAAGTGTTGTAGTTACATTTGAAGAAATTCCGAAGGCGAGTGATGCAAGTAAGTTTCACAAAGGATATCGCAGTGGCACTGGGTCGAGGGGTATTTAGGGATTGGGCGGGAAATGCTGGGTTAGTTTCATGGAAGTCTGCCATATCCAATAATGTAAATTTTGATAGAAAGACGACAACTTGTTGAAATAAAAGGCCGGATATATAGACCAGAATAACTACTGTACAGTACATCAAAACAGGACTAAATCTATATGCTGTTGTTTCCTTTTTCACTATGTTTGTTCCTCCACACATTAGATACATCCAGTCAAAGACATAAGTAAAGTAGAATAGATTAGAGGCACCTACTCAACCCTACTAAAGTAGGTTCTAGCCCTACTCTGACCTAGTCACCAAGACTTGAGTAGGTTAGAGTAATTTACCCTCGTACTGCTTAAGTAGTACGGAGTAAGTCGGCCCAAGGTTCCGTAGCACGCCCGGGGGCGCCGGCTTGTCGGTCCACCTTCTCGGACGTGGCCGCTAGCTATACTATTATACCTATTTTAGCGAGATATTTACAAATGCCCGCGACAAGTTCGGCTACCGAGCGGCTCTTTGGCGAGGGAGTAAATATTTATAACAAAGAATAGATACAGGCTTAGGGGTTTTACGTGGAAAAAGAGATGGAAGAGTAAATAATAGGACTACTGTTTAAGTACAGTATAATCATTTTGTACTTTAGTTACTATTCATACAGTAGTATAACTACTTAAGTAGCTAAGTATTTCTTTCGTACGCTGTAACAAATCTGATCCCCAAATTTGTATGCTTTCTACCATTCCAAATGAATCCATGAAAGTTAAAATGCTCAAAAAGACGCAGCAATTATGCTTGGAACGTAGCCTCATGGTCTACTGAAAATAAGTTTATTTTGGTAAATCAAAGCTCACGGCAATGATAGAAGAACCAGATGATTCAAGAACCAGATGATGTGATTGTTTCCAGTGTATTATCTTTCTGTTGGGTCACACTTCATGCCTAGCTATTTCTTCCGACGCCACCTCGCTAAGCTTTGCGTAAGCGAATATCTGACTACACAAAGCAATTGTTAGTTACATCGGTTAGTTGGTATAGCAATTACAATTAGCATTATCGATATCGACAGCTCAATAGTATCCAGACCCTCGATTGAACATGTTCGGGTTTTGAGGTGTAAAAGCCGAGTCACGACCCCCGGGAATAGAAGCTGAGCGTTGAGCAACTAAAAGGAATTAGTGGAAGTTTTAAGTTTGACACAGACTTTGACAAACCTCGAGATCTGAGTGGAGGGCCGACTCCCAAATTTCCAGATGTGCCCGAACCGTTGCTAACCTTTACACCAGCACTCATGCCATATCCGGCGAAGGCAGATCCACCAGCATTGTTGGGATTGAGATTTGACAATGGGCGTCGTGCCGAATGGACCATGGGTGTACCAGAAACACTGTTCGCTTGGAAATTCGCAGTGCGTGAAGGAGCTTGCGGATTGTTGTTTCCAAGTGGTTGACGATGAGTGGTGCCTGATTGGATTGGTTGACTACCTTGTGGGTGTTAGGCAAATGAGAAAGAGGAGGACATGTTTGACATACCTTGACTTGCCAATTGACTACCCCCTTGTCTAGGCTCCTGACCATCATATCCATTCCAGGTACCCAAGTTTTGTGGCGCGATGACGGTCGGGTTGCCGAGGCTTTGGTTCTGAGGATTGCTCTGCTGTCGAGCCGCGAACAGAGGCGGAGGCGGTGGACGTTGGGTTCGGTCTAAACTGTCAACATATCGATTTGCAGCTACAGATGCTTGGAAAGAGTGTTCAACCGCATCAGAAGCTGCATTTTGAACATGTCCCAACATCGAACGGCGTTTGATTTTGTCAAGTGTCTCTTGAGTTTGAAGTTGCTTACGACATTTTTCGCGGAAAGCTTGGCTGAGCTCGTCATTCTTGTTTCGCAGAGATTCTTTCTCGATTTGGAGGCCTAGAGAAATTAGCAGGCACACCACGCTGGTTTCGACGTTCACCTACTCGACATTAGATTGCGCAAATTCGAGATCTCCGAGTTCGCATTGTGAATGATCTTATCCATTTGAAGGTTCAACGCGGCATACTTTCCCCCAAGATTCTTCACTAGGAAGTCTTGGTAAGTGCTAAGACCAAGTCAATGCAGTGACTCCTACAGAGGTATTTCTGGATGGTTACAAACATCTCTTGGGTCGCTTGATATGCCCACCAACTCAACGCTCTTCCGGCACACTCCATTATGATGCTCGGGCTCAATCCGCTCAGGACGCTTGTTTTATAGTCTTCGGTTGGATTGAGGTTTGTAACAACGACATCATCAGGATTGCGGAGTTGACCATCGCAGGCTGGGCAGGTAGAGAATTCTCCGTCGCGCGCCCCATTCAGCTGGCAAGCATTCGAACATTCAATGCAAAAGACATGGCTATCGAGGGGTTAGCCAGGAGCAGATATAGAATGTATGGAGGTACAGTACCTGCAAGTAGTCACCACGGCATGGCCACTAAGCTCCTTTCTGCATTTCAGAATGTTGCATCTGAGTGTGAAATCCATATTGCTGTGGCAGCCACGAAGGCTTCAGCTCTGATTGCGATGTTGGATATGTTCAGGTTGTAGCTGTAGATAGTTAGTGAGAGGTGGGGGTATGCGGCGGGGAAGTGAACGTGGGGAAGAACTGCCGCTATTTAGCCAGCAAGTGATCGCCGCTACCCACCTGCAATGACAATCGCTAGGTATGTAGAATTCAACCTTCCATAGATACTCAGTGCGAAAAAAGCTTGCCTAGCAAGTAAAACTCCTGTGCCCCATATCATTGAAACTAAGTCAATCAAACATGGCAGGCGGTCTCTAAAGCTCTGGGAGTCTTTGAGATGGTTGTATTGTTGGGGGACTATTGAAGGAGGTAGAGGGGGATAGGTCCAATTTCGTTTGACTACGACGTGATAACGTGGTAAAAAGAGCTTGATTGGACCGATTTCTAAACTTCTCAATCATATTTGTTTCTAGATAATTGTCACATATACTTAACGGATATTAGCATTTCAGAGACGATCCTTGATGCAGAAGGTTGTCAAGATATACTCTTTTTAATCCTTTATAAAGGCTTAACATCAAAAGACAACGCTAAGATCCATCTAAAATTCGCTCCTTAAATACCAGCTCGTCATCTCTTTCTCTAATCCGGAAGCTAATTCGTGATTGTGGAAGATCATCTCTAACCTAAGCGCTGTCCGCAGTGCTTCCCAACTGAAACGCTCCTTATTAAATCTTTGCCAGATAGATAGAGTTTCACGAGACTAGGGATTCAAAAGGCATATTGAGAGGAGCCCTTCATTTATTCCTTGTTCTATGTATTAACAAAACTGGTAGGCAGAACATTTCGATTGGGTTTGGAATAAGAACTATCGCTGATCAAACTTATAAAATACTTCGCTGGTCCTTCCAGCCAAATTCCTATGGGATGTTAAGCTTCACTTCCAAAGTTCCGAACTGAATGTCATTCTCATCAAACAAACACACCCCACAAATCAGATAGAAATCCTAATTCATTTCAAATTCCAATTTCTTTCTCCCCATGCCAAAATAAACCTTTGATCTAGGTAAGATTTATATCCCTCCTCAAACCTCGCTAGTATCCGGAACATTATCGTCTGTCGACTCCATGAACCTCCAAAAAAAAGGGATTTTGAATACAGAAGAGAGAACCCAAATGACAAGATATGCAATGAATCTAACGAAGATGGGGATATGAGATGTTCAGTTACCCAGCAGGGTGGATCTGGGGGAAGGACAATACTTACATGGATTGATATTGAGATGATTACAGCTTCTTACTATCTTCATCGACATTACGTGTCTTACCATTACAGTAGGAAACAGGAAACCGCTACCAGGAAAGAAATCACAGGTGTTGTTTGCGGTGTACTGTAAGAATATAAGGTATTTTTCAGCTTCTGGTTCTAATATCATCTTATGCGACAGCAGCGATGGTCTATGAAAAGACTTATTCCTACCAACCAAAACAAGCAAAATACCTTACCTTTGCTTGTACGCTACCTCAGGGGCACCATCAACTCAGACTCATTCAAACTCACACATCTAACTCCACCAATCCTACAATGTTGATTGATATAGATAAAGGGGCAGACTCGTGGAGTAATATCTGCTACAAATATATTGCCGAAAGCTCGAAAACTCGGGGGTTTGGCCATGTATTTTCAGGAAGTTGAACATGTACATATGTCACTAATTTGTGATCCATACTTCCATATTCACGCGTGTGAAAAAAAAAGGATATCAATTCAAACCTTAACTCTTCGCTAATACCATAAGTTAGGCAAAATAGCAACGTATAACCCATCTTACAACAAAACAAAACTAAGGAACAGTCCATCCTAATATTTTACATCTTACAACATCTTTCCTAGCAGCTATACATAAAGAAATCTAGACAGCACCCCTGCTTCCTTTGAATAAGGTGCTGAGTTTAGCGACCTTTAAGTTTATTGATTGTAAGCTAGAGATCTCTATGATTCTCGCTGGCCATGTAATTATGATTTTGACGAAGGTTTTTTTTGGAAACTCTATACCTCGTATTATCTTTCCAGTTTTGGGAGAGAGGAGTGGTACGGTATGTATGGTATGTACATGAACATCCACACGATTTATGGTTTATCGTTCCCTCTCTCTGAATTACAAAAGACCCGTGAGTATCTCATACAACAGTCCATAGACATCAACTTCAGGACCTTGATCAAACTCCCCACTCAACGGGATAAAGCAAAGTTTCCCCACCTCACTGAAAGAAATTAGGAAAGAAATACAGTAGATGTATATCGTTCTCATAACATCAACCTGAGCATTATTTTAACAAGCACCACTTCACACAAGTTCACACTAGCTTCCACTCCATAATCCACACATAACCATAATCACAATCAACCCAAGACATACAATACCCATCACCCTCCCCCCTTACTACCGTCACAAAAGGAGCCTGTCGCCCCAACTCCTCAAACATACCTATAGTACCACCCAACCCAAGCTCTCTGAATCCCATTACAACCTCAAGTCATTGAAGAAAATCCCCATCCTATCATTATCCTCAGCATCTCATCTCATTTCCTACCAACAACACCCTTATCAAAGACACCACCACTCAACACAAAACCACCACCAAATCCAACCACAGAAACAGAACTTCCTCAACATACCCCATCTACCATCCCCCAGGCTAAATTCCCTCATACCACCATCACCATCCACACCTCACCCCTCCCTTCCATCCATACAACCCCATACAACCCCACCAACCCTTCTTCTTCCAACACAATCCCCACACTCCTCCACCACTCTCCATTCTTATTCCCCCTCGCTTACCGAGTACAGTATTTAGAACCCACAAATTCAGCTCATCCACCCCAAACCCAACACCTCTCAAACCACTTACCACAAGTCTACACACCACTTGTTCAATAAAGAACTTGAATTCTAGACGCGTCTGGCTATATATATTCACTTCTATTAAAATGAAATAGGAGATAGGGATGTTCAAGTGGACGAGAGGACAAGTATAGGGAGGCTATTCATAGCTACCTACCTACGTGGAAAGAACGGCTTCTTACATACCATTGCTGTGTTTTTTTAGCTTGTTTTAGATGTGAAGATGAGGTGCCAATCTTATGACTATGACGCTATGCTAGAAGTTTGCTAGCTGAGTCTTAGATTTTGATGTTGGTTTCATTGAGATTGTGTTTTTTGGGGGATGGAGTGTCTTACAGTAATGATATTGTCATGGTCAAGTTTCCAGTTTTATCCTTTTGGACTCTCCCAAGGCTGGTGAGATTGTACAAAGATCTTGCGAACAAGATTCCTTGATGTCTGAACCTTCAAATCCACTGCATATAGCGTGTAATATGCGTACTCCCCCAGTGTCTACTTCCACAACAAACTCCGCGCTATAACTTACTAGCTTTCCAAACCGGCGCTCTCCTCTCCTTGAAAGCCCTCATCCCCTCCCTCGCATTCTCCCCCCAAAACAAGCCTTCAGCAAACCCATCATACACCTCCCTCGTCGCACTCCCCACCCCCTTCTCCCACGCCTCTCTAACCCCGCGTCTACTAACCACAACACTATCCGGACTCCCCATCGCAACCACCTTCGCAAGTCCCACCGCCTCACCCACCAACCTCTCCCCATCCACAACCTTCAAAACCACACCCCACTCCACCATCTCCTTCGCACCCAACACCGCCCCCGTAAGAGCAATATACATCGCCCTCTGCAACCCCAACGTCCTGCACAACCGCGTCAATCCACCTTCCAAAGCGGCCGTACCCCTCGCAACGTCTGGGAGGGAAAAGGTAGCATTCGAAGATGCGAGGACGAGGTCGCAGTTCAGGACGATTTCGAAGCCTCCGCCGTGGGCGTGGCCGTTTACGGCGGCGATGATGGGTTTCCGTCCGGTTCTTCGGGAGAGACCTGCGAATCCGGAGGGGGGGTAGTGGGATCCTGTGTGTGGTTTGGAGAAGAGGGTTTGTGCTTCTGTGGGTATGTTAGGAGGAAAGGTGGTGGGATACAGAAAAGGGAGGCAAGAGACCTTTGAGATCCATGCCAGCGCAGAAGGCTTTCCTTCCTGCGCCGGTGACGATTGCTACTCTCCTAAACGACTTTTCAGCCTATGCCCGTATAATTTCAACAACGGGGAAACAAGGGAAATAAGAATTGTCATTGGGAGAGGAAACCATACAAGTAAGGTTCCGCATCAAACCATTTCCATAGTTCATCCAGCTCCCAGCATGCTTCGAGGGGCAGAGAATTCATCTGCTGCTCCAGGTTGAACGTAACGAGCAGCACGTACGGTGCTGGAGAGGCGAGAAGGGCATAATTGAGCTCTGGTGGCACCCTTTGGAAGGGTGTATATGAGTTCATGGCGAGGAGAGATTTCCTGCCCTGAGAAATGTTCGACCTCGGCGCCGCTTACATGTATAGGTTTGAGGTTGCACAGGTTGGTGTGTCATCTGAGTGAGACATGTACTAAGCAGTGCACTGGTCGCAAGTATCGGGTAGTCGATTATATCCCGCTTTTCGAATGGATAAGGCGCGATCCAGTCACTGTACCTGCCCAGGAAAGGCTCTGTGAAGTCTGGACTATCCTCTGAAAAGCTCACTTGGTAACAATAACAGCATCGCGGGGTCCTTGAGATTCATCTACCGGTAGCCATTCCATTTCTCCCCTACTCGCCCTAAGACTGGCACGTACAAACTAGGTAGACCCTTGTTCTCACCAGCGGAGGGATCTCCAGAGTGAAATCTGGGGAAAGTCGATTCAAGGCAAGAGAGGGGGGCGGAGGGTCTTCCAGTATTGGGAAAGTGCAGGTGAGTTCTCGCGATGGAGCTCAACATTGAGGTCGCGCCTTCCTCGACAGTCTCACTCTCACCACACCGGGAAAAACACGTCCTCGTACCTACAGTAAGGTAAATCCATGTCTGAGTGTTTTGAAGGCAGGAACGTTGCAGAGAGTGCACCTTTCTCGCGCGATTTCTGAGAGCGAGCCTGTACCTGGATTTCACAGGTACTGGCACTGGCACACCTCAATGCTTACCAGACCACTCCCTCCCTCTCTTGTCATGTCTTCCAGAAGAGTACTCGTACTCACGTAGGTAAGTTCGAGGTACCTGTGCGACGCTTTCTCCGCTTCCAAGAGCCGACATTGCTGCCATTGGCCCAATGTGATCGAGCTAGAGCTAGAGGTATTTGGACTTGTCTGGTAGCGCGAGTGGACTCAGCCGACAGTAACAATCAAGCCAGCGATACCTGGGTAGAATCTGACGATAAATGGGCAAATGCGATGAGTGCCCTGAGTCTTGAGGCCCGGGGAGGTAACTCCAGGCGCACGTGCACTCCCTAGGGCCTCGGTCGACTGTAAGATCACGCGGGGAGTAGGCGAAAGGAACCCCTGAGCTTCTTCCCATTGCATTGCCTCACCAGGTCTTATCTACAAACGACAAACGACCCAACATCCTCCGACCGATTTCAATCATCGCCCATCTCCCATCATCTACCAAAATCTGACCTTGCGTTGTACATACATACAACAAGAATAATCATGGCCTCAAATCTAAAAACCCAACCTCCACCTCACCCAACTTTCCTCCTCTCATACCCATCTCCCGGCATCCTATTGATGACCATAAACCGTCCAAAACAGATGAACTCCATACACTCCACGGGACATGTAAGCTCCTCATCCCAATCTTGTACTCTAATAAACCCCTTCAAACCTCACATTCTTAATCACCTCTCGAAACTTCTGTCTTACTAACTTCACCCAGTGGGAAGCACAATCCATACTCACCTGGTACGATAACGAACCAAGTCTCTCAGTCTGTATTATTACCGGCGCAGGAAATAACGCTTTCTGCGCGGGACAAGATCTGGTAGAAATCGGTAGCTCGAAAGCTTCATCCCAGCCGATGCAACTAGGAAGTCATCCTCCTAGTGGTTTTTGTGGAATCAGTAGGAGGGTTGGGAAGAAGCCCATTATTGCGGCCGTGAATGGTCTTGCGTTGGGAGGGGGGACGGAAATCGTTTTGAATTGGTAAGCATCTTTCACCCAATACTCCTGGGCTTGTAGACGAAGAGGGGGGTGGAGGCACGTGATGGGTGTCTGAGGATGAGATATGAGATATGAGCTGATATGTACTCCAGCGACATGATAATAGCCTCTCCCACCTCTTACTTCGGCCTTCCCGAAGTCACGTTAGGTCTCTATGCCGCAGCAGGAGGACTTCCCCGTCTTGTTCATACAGTCGGCATGCCTCTCGCCTCAGAACTCGCCTTGACGGGGCGTCGACTCACTGCCTCGGAAGCACTCTCTTTTCACCTCATCAACAAAATCTCCAAAACGCCAGAATCTCTTATGGACGAGGTTCTCACGCTGGCAAAGAAGGTTGCTAGTCAGAGCCCTGATGCTATTATCGTGACGAGAGCTGGTCTGAGGGAAGCATGGGAGACGGCTAGTGTGGAAAGTGCGACGAAGCGAGTGGGTGATCGGTATAATGCTGGACTTTTCGAGGGAGAAAATTTCCAGATCGGGGTGGAGGCTTTTGTGAAGAAACAGAAACCCGTTTGGAAACCTAGTAAGCTGTAGGTGAGGGTTGATGGTACCAAGTCGGGTTTGTTTCAACAAGATTTTCTAAGAAGGAAAGGGAAATCAGATTTTCATCTAGAGGAGATGTGAGATGTGAAAAGAACAGAAACTAGAAATCTTACTTGTTCTCCTCCAAGAAGAATTTCTCTGTCAACTGAGAAGATTTGATTTGATGCTTGGGGTAGTAATTCCGTAACCTCACATTTCTGGACCCCACGAAGGGTCACCCATCATCTTTGAAAATCAGAGCCAAACCCGAAAACAAAAAAGCTGACAGAAACCCTCAGCTCCACATAATAAGAAACACACCAACGCACTACTGTACGAGTAGGTAGGTACGTAAGATCTCATCGTCACCAAACACGCGAACCACTCCACACCTCGTACTGTAACCCCACAGAGCCTCAAGATAGCAAATAACCAGTACCCAATTCGTCGGCAACCCTGCCATTCTACCGTCTCATTTCCACATCGTGGATTTATTGTAGCTGACTGCATATGGTATCGTATATCTCTTGTAAAACGTACGAGTAACCTGGCTGGAATGAAAGGGCGATATATCTACATGATACTTATACAACATGATACCAAATCATCGCCTTGTAAGTGTGAGCGCTGTATCGGTTTTTTGTAGAAGGGAGGGTTGAGTCTGTCTTTGATGTGTTGCTTCGGCGGCTAAGGCCGTGGTCGAGAGTGAGGGAGGAAAGTGGAACATAGAAAATGGACATGACTGTTGAGAATCCGGAATACCGATCAAGGGTATAAGACAGTGAGGTATACGAATCTTATGTATGTACTCGTATGTCAACCAGAAACCTGCACTTTCCAACCCAGCTCCCGAACGAGACGACTCGAGTCCTGGGAAAGTCAAAGTCCTTCATCAATCACAGGACCGGAATGAGAGCCGAATATCTCTTCACAATATGGGAAACACCAGGTGAGAATTGTTACCGGTAGATTCTTCGCACGCCCTGTTTTCTTTTTGTAAAGCTTAAGCGCTACTGTAGCAAAAACGAGAATACGAGGAAACAACTGTGGCACAAGGAACGGAATCAAACGAAGACAGGCAACCAATAGCTTCGCTTTTCCCAAAACGAGAGAGGGAAATTATCTGCCATCTGATTTCGGGAGAGTAGCTAAGTCGCACCGCCCGATCAAAGTATGAGAAACAAGAACTGAGGATCCAGACGAGATGAATGGGGATGATGGGATGCAAGAATTCCGGTATGGTATGCAAGCAACTCCATCATTCATCATTCTGCCTTACACCTACAGTCCTGCACTCAGGCGAACTGGGGGGGAGGGGGGCTGGCTTACTGTACCACAACAACAGGGAAAAAAGCTTCCAGAAGCACCGCGTAAGCTTCCACACGTGCCTCCTACAACGAATGGGGGGAAACACCCCCCTTTCCACACACACACCGGAAGTGATCCGTAAGGTTCTGGCAATGGTAATGGTAGGGTCACACACACGCACATCAGCTGAGACCGCATGTACTGTACTTTCCATACCTACCCTGGCAGGGGCAGACAGATAGACAGACAGACACTCGCACAGTATGTATTCCAGAACGCGAACGGGATTCTTGCCAGGCAATCAGGGATCAGGCATCTCTCCCATCCATGGACATGGGGGAGGCATGGCAGGTCAGGTCAGAACCTAGTTATGAAGTACATACGTCGTCTTGCTTTAGAGGGGCTGCGGCTTTCTTCTTATCTGTGAGTGAGGTGAGTGTGGTGTGCGTATGTGTGTGTGTTATGGTGGGTGTACATACATATATATATACAAGAGAAACACATCTCCCCTCACGTCCTTGACGTCCAAACTTTTCTTCGAGCCGTCGGATGTCTTCTAGGAGGCAGAATGATAAGACTTCCATTGAAGTCAAGTAACACCCTCTATCTACATCGATATCCACCATATCAACCCACGCGCTCGCCCACCATGTCTAATAAAGCAACTCAGGGTTCCTGTAAAAGGTATTTCATCCTCGTTCCTCATTCCTCATTCCCCTCCCCTCACACACCCATAAAAAAACCCATCAATCCTAAATCCTAACCACTAACCCCCCACCCACCAGTTTACCTCCCCTCACCAAAACCAAAACCAAAAACTCACCTACTCCCCGTGACGAGCCAACATACCTCCCACTCACAACCTACACCCACCATTCCGAATCCCACGAACTGGCCGCTTTGGGTGATGTCCATGAGAAAACGTCAGAGAGCATTCGTCGACATAGAGATGTGATGAGGAGGAAGATTAGGGAGGTGGAGAGGGTTTTGGGGTAGTGATGAGGTTGTGGGGGGTTGTGAATGGGAGGTTGTGGTGAGCGTGTAGGTGGGGAAAGGGGGTACGGGTACTTGAAGAGACACGGGGGGAGAGAGGGGGAGGTCCTGATGATGATGATGGAATTCTCGATTTATGTATTGATATACTGTATATTAGGTTTCATGACATGATGAGGGATGGAAATGGAGTTTTTGGATATTGTTAGAATGGGATTAAGAAGAGGAGGTGGTACATGGAATGTGAGAGGAAATAGAAATGTTCTTGCTGAGTATTCCCAACGTGGTGAATCCCGACTTAGCGCTTGCTCTCATCTGTCAAATTCCAGATTCAGTGGAAAGGGGGATATTCAAAGGCAGGACGTCGGAATGTAGATTGAAGTAAGAGAAGGGAGGAATAGTATATATCACGGATCCTCCAAAGTTGCTCATATAGGTTTAGGTAGAGTAGTAATATCTTGTACGAGTCTTAGAAACAATGAAAAATCCCCATCTTCAAGACAGAGAATGATATAATTGAGAAGTGGCATTGTTAAACAATGCTGCAGTACAAGCAATACAAACATGTTGCAAGACAAACATGTTGCAAGACCCCTTGTAGTTACGCATGTTTCTCCCAGCTCTTCAATTTGATCGATTTCGTCGAGAAAGAGATAAAATCTTGTGAAAGGCTATTTACAGAGGGCATGAATAACGGAACCTAAAACCAGGTGCAAAGAGCTGTTGCATAAACATATAAAAGCTTACACTATATCATACTTATCGTAGTGGTCTTCTACCCCACTGGGCTTCCCGTCAGGAAAGGCAATCTGCGTCAATCGGTCATGGTATTGACTTTACCCCAGATACTTCTGTGGCAGTCCGAACCTCAACCTCTCCATTCTCCATGCCAAAATAGGCTGCGACGGGTTTCTGGCCACCACCTTCTTCTCCAGCACTCTCAACTTGGGCACCGTTCCTTCCGTGGAAGAGCCCACATTCCAAAACACCAACAATTCTCTTCAGTCGACGTCCAAGTTGGTGAACCTCCCAATTACCATGCGTTCCATCTCCAATGTCTCCTTCTGGAAGGTCTTTGGCGAGCTTTAAACGAGGAAATGGGACATCCATTATCCACATTCCGTTATCTGTAACTACGGGTCCAGCTTTTGCGCTACCGCCTTGACGAATGGTAGGATCCGGAGAACCAAGAGTGATCAATATTCTTTTGATAGTCGGTGCCGCGAATGGGGCAATTTCAATTGGAATCGCCTTCCATTGAGTGAGAAGACGTGGCTGGAGTTTTCTAGAATCTGCATCTATGTGAGCATTTGTTGCATTACATCCGAAGAATTGAAAACATACCAGCAACGCAGATAAATTTCTTTGCTGCCGTTGCTACCAATTTTTCCTGGAATAAGCATGCACCACCACCTTTGATGCAGTTCAACTCCTCGTCTATCTCATCGGCGCCATCGAAAGCCACGTCTAGAGCCTGCCTCTTTCCCTTCAACCCTAGATCTTTGAGGCCTGTTGCAATTTGGAGAGCGGAAACTCCGTCCAACTTTGGGCGACGTCCCTCATCGACCGGTGGCAGGGAATCGATACTTCCCAGTGGTAGACCAGCTTCGATGATCAATTGCTTGCTTTGGTCCCCAGTAGGGATAAAGACCATTCTTGAGGTGACATCACGTCCCTTGGCGGCAATAGCTTCCACCACGTAGACCACCGTACTCCCAGATCCAATGCCAATATATTTGTATGAAACGTCAAAATGATCCTCCACTGCCTTGTATGCTGCACGTCGTTTGGAAGCCTCGATTGGGGTAAGTTCCAGGGGAAGCTCGGGAGGAGATACAGTGCCCGTGGAAGGGACTGCTGGTGCTTTGGCTGCCATTGAGTATGGTCTACAGTAACCAGAGACGTTTGTGGAGGGGAAGAAGATTCCGGATAAGGTGTATTTGTTATGAAGAAGTTGTGTTTGCGCCGGCTGAAGGTGCTGAAAAATCGGCGGATACTTGTACTTGTTCGGCGGAGCTTTGGGAAGCAGCAACCCCACGCTGGTTTGGCTCAACCGAAAATGACGGGCTTGGTGTAACTGTCGCCTTATTTTGGGTGGCAAGCTCAGTGAACAAGAAATGGAAGATGAAGCTACTCGGAAGGGGAGTGGCAGGCTAGTTTTCATAGAGAAGGAAGAGAGGAAAAAATGGCAAAAAGCGGTAGCAGATGGAGAATGTATGTGGATGCATGATAAGCTGTGACTTCACCCGATGCCGCTCCGCTGTGCTGTGCTGTCATACTGGAGAATCTAAAACTGTGGGGTTGAGCTTGAGTTTCAGCTTATTCATCAGTTCTGGTTCCTCCACCAATCATCAGAGGAAGCTACCCAAGGCCGCGATTGATCCAGAAGCTAAGTGATGACTGTCAGTCACGAGGCGATAGGAGATAGGAGATAAGCGGTGCTCTTATCGCGTTGAACCAAATCCTCAAAGTCAATGGAAGCTCCCCGCAAGGTCCAGGCATTGCATCTTTCCAGAAATCCACCTCAATACCGACTATCCTTGTATTCTCAAATCCGTATTCTGTCCAGGAACTACTATCAAGTGGTTCTTTTTAAACACCAGCTTTCCAGGAAGGAGCTGTGTTTGACATACCACTTTCAAACACACCTCCTCTCGCAGCTCAACCCCGCCATTTCAACGAACACAAGACCTTACAACCCCGTCATCTGCCACCATGACTGAGGTAATTCGCACTCAGACGCCTCCGATACTTCATGGACCCTCAGACAAGGAGAAGAAATATGATAGGCAGCTTCGTCTGTGGGCAGCCAGTGGACAACAGGCTCTTGAGGAGGCCCATATCCTCTTGGTCAACTCAGGTTCAGGGACCGTTGGCATTGAAACCTTGAAGAATCTTGTTCTTCCAGGCACGTATACCTTGAGCACCATCCTCTGGGGAATTCTGCTTATCATTCTACAGGCATCGGAAAATTCACAATTGCTGATAAAGCCATTGTTGAAGAAGCTGATCTGGGAGTTAACTTCTTCTTGGATGAGGAGAGCTTGGGAAAACCAAGATCCGAAGCTTGTGTTAAACTTCTGCAAGAACTGAATCCAGACGTTAAAGGCGACTGGTATCAACTTGAAAAGGTAAACTATATAACTGACTCATTTGAGCACACAGCACTAACTCTCTTGTCTCAGGATCAACCTCTACAAACCCTTCTTGATCAACAAAAGTTTACTCTGCTCATGTACTCTCTACCTATCGAACCCGAAACTCTCCTCACTATCCAAAATTATGCGAACGAAAACAAACTTCCCCTATTCTCCATACATTCAGCAGGCTTCTATTCTGCCTTCCGAATACACTTGCCTGGTTCATTCCCTATCGTTGATACACATCCCGAGTCAACGACAACTCCCGATTTAAGACTGCGAACACCATGGAAGGGACTTTCGGATTTCGCGGCAGAAATCACAGCAGACATTGATATTCAAGAGGCACGCGAGCATGGCCACATACCATATGTGGCATTGATATTACATTACCTCATTGAGTGGAAGGAAAAACATGGCTCTATTCCTTCTGAGTATGCGGAAAAGAAAGAATTTGCGAAATTCCTTGCTGCAAAGGCTCGTACAAACAATCCTGAGGGCGGAGAAGAGAATTTTGATGAAGGTGTGGCATCAGTCCTGAAATTGCTCCATGAACCAAAGCTGGAAGGCTCTGTCAAAGAAATCTTTGATCACGAACCAAATGGTGTATGTTTATTACAAGAACAAGTGTAGGGAGTTTTGCTAACCTATTACCTTTTCCAGTTAGAAGCCAAGTCAAGTTTCTGGATCATCGCCGGCGCCGTCAAGAAGTTTTACGAAAAACACAAAGCTCTACCACTGCCAGGCTCGGTTCCAGATATGAAAGCTCAATCAAATGTCTATGTTAAGCTTCAGAACATCTACAAGGCAAAAGCGCGCGAAGATGTCGCAGAGGTATTGGAATCCGTTCGGGCTCATCCTCTCGGCAAAGATATTCCTACTACAGAAGTAGAGGTATTTTGCAAGAACGCAGCATTTATCAAACTTGTTAATGGAGCAGGTTCCAAAACTTCCGACGTAGTGAATATTGCCAGTATGTCATCTTCCCCTCTGTAAAATGGCCCTTACTAACGCATACAGACGAGGAATTCAAAAGCGATCAGATGGCAGCTAATAATCCAGAGTTTGGAATGAGATTTTCGCTCCTTCCGATATATCTAGCGTTGAATGCAACATGCTACTTTGCATCTGCTACTTCATCGGAAATACTTGCCACCATCAACAAGATTGTTCCCGAGGCTTCCTCAAATCCAAGGCTTGTCCAAGCCGCAGAGGAAGTTGCCCGAGCAAAGGGTGGTGAACTTCACAACATATCTTCATTGACTGGTGGTATGGTTGCTCAAGAAATTATCAAAATCATCACCAAGCAGTACATTCCTATTGATAACACTTGCATATACGATGGAATTACGAGCAGAACGCAGATCTTCAAAATATAACAACTCAGCTCTCATAATGTTACCTAGAGTTGATTTCAGCAGATTGATGAACTCTCATTAGCAATATTGACATTAAGCGTATCATACTGGTGAATCTATGTGCAAAATCCTGCACCCAATACAGCAAAAATCAACATAAATACATCGACAGGTGTCTCATCGCATATCCTCCGTCTATTTATGGAATCTTGTAGTCCATTTTGATATACAGGTCGATCCTACTGGTTCCACAAGCATCACTAGAGTTTCATCCATGTCCACTCGGCTTTTCTATCTCGTGGGCTCATGAACCATAACAACTAATCCTGTATACATCATCGAGATGAAAGTCCACAAAAGGTATTGAACAGAAGATTACGCATGAGTGGTATGATTTGCCGAAGCACGTGCCGCGCTATACGGCAAGATCTTATTTCTATATTCACAATTCCCACCCCGTTCTGATCCATTCCTTGGATTCCCTTCCCTCTTACCAACCTTGCACCACTTGAGTTTCTCCTTCCTTCAAGGTGTATGCCCACTCCTTTTTTCGCGATACCACAAAACATCACCTCTGCATCACTCGAATACTCGGTGAGTCCGTGAGTATGAGTACAAATGCGGCCCGTTTTTCCCTAAATTTACCCCCAGCGCTCTCGTATCAATATATCGAGATCCATCCCCGAGTCCCCAGCGGATGTCGGAGAACGGGGATCGACGGCATTCCAGCATCTTTCTTCATCGTTCGATTATCCCGACCGCTTATCTTGCGTGTTATTCCCCTAGTCTCATCTTTTGTCATTTTCTCATTTTATTTTTACCCCGGATTTGAGAGGCGCGATAGCCTGAATGACGTACCTCCCCTCTCGGCTAACTCGGTTTCGGGCCAAGGCGGGGGATGATTGCGATGTGCGTCCCTTGCCGGAGGTGCATGTATGCAAGTGATCCTTATTCTTCTGGCCGAGGAGGTAAGTATGCTGGAGGTGTATCTTTAGTCTCGTGATGGTTTCTATGCATGCTCTAGGGCTTACAAAGGTGATGTGTGCATAAACTTGATGTGCATCTGGTTCACATTTCAAGCCTTGGGGAACACATCCATTGAATGTGGAGCACTGCAAAACCTTGAAAATCCGGGGTTGGAGTTTGTGGGTACTGTATCTTTCTGGGGGATTTCTGTGGGGAATTTTCCGGGGAAGCCTGGTACAGTAGGGCAGCGTTCGAAGGTATTGCTTGCTTGGGCTTCGGTCTTGAATGCCGTTAGAGTTATGCGAGGATGCAGCCAAGCATGGAGATGAGCTTCAGGAACTGGCGGGAGATGAGGGGAGACATGTCAGGGGTGGGATGAACAGGACAGGGCGAGCTTGTATGCATTGATGGGCATGTGGATTTACGGGGGGTGTGGAGGAAGTATACACTCTTACGGATTTCAGTTGTTACCGGACATGCGGAAAATTTGGGAAGCACTTCTGGATTGGAGATGAGGAATGAATTATCGACGTGAAGACGTGATGTGCGCGATTTTCAGGTGTACGGCAGGACGGTCTACGTATGGAATTCAGCTGATAGTTTTTCCAGGACATCCTTTGGGACGAGAATGAGACGAGTCGCTTGTGAGGGAGCAAGTTCATCCTCATGTCCGTTCCTACCCGTTTCTTCAAAGTTGTGAATGGATACCATCAACGGGAGAAACTTGGAGGCTTTCCGAGGACTGAAGAGTGGTGGGTAATTAAGCGATGGGACCGAAAAGGGAGGATGGATTCCCAGGTGGCGTATCTTCGCACACATGGCATGGGTGTAACTGGTGGGCGAATGCTCTAGCAGACGGCAGCAAATCTTTGTCCTACTGTAGGTGATGTTGATCAAAACTATATGTTGTTACCTTTTCTTCTCCACATTCTTTCCCCACATTTGGCCACATGCAACTTAGGCATTTCATATACCACATGTACAGTGGGTGACCACATGTAATACATGATGGACACTGCCTGCATTATTTGCGAGCCAATCACTCAATGGGGGGACTTTGATACGACCCCGAATACGCTCCCCGGATTTCTAGTACCGGCATGGTTACCATTCTATTTCTTTCAAGCGCGTTGAGTTGTATCGTTCTGATGCTTTCGGTTTTGTGGGTTCCATTTTGGGCTGCTCGATATCTGCTGATGGTACCCAGGCGGCAGAGTCTGCTCTCATATGGATTCATGAGCTAGCCTTAGTGCAGGAAAGGGATACTTTGGGGTGAGAAGCGAGGGAGGTATTAGGTACTTACTCAACAATGTCTATGTCACGGTGACATCCTCGTACACTCGCGATCTCGGTCCGTGCCGACGACGAAAATTTCTATCACTTCTCTAAAATAGAAACCGAGAGAGAGAAATCATTATTTCCTACTGGGGTCTAGCGTCCTCTTCCTACTAACCCTCTTAGAGCAGCTTAACCTCTACCTCACTTCTCATCTTCAAACACCAACCATCATACAAACCAAAACACTTACTCGTACAAGCCTCCCATCCTCAACATCCTCAACCCCAGATCCCAGAAATAACAAAACTGCTACAGTACTTACAATCCATCAAACCCACAAATCCAACAAACCATTTACCCAGACTGCCCCAACCTCCCCATCTTCTCCAACAATGTAAATCTTCTTCTCACCTTTTGCCTAATACCCCACAAAATTCCACATCTCATCTCTCGTCTCCCCCCTTTTGGAGGAGCAGAGACATAAGCCCCTATACTGAACTGCTTATATATACCACGGCCCCAGTTCGCATCGCCGGATTCTGCTCGAGGGTGGTAGCGAGGGGATGGGGGCTGGTGGGAAGCGCTGTGGAAATAGGGCTGTGGGCTTTGTGGGGAAGTATAGGCTGATTTGTGGGCTGTGTTTTGGGCTTTGGGATGTTCTGGATGGCGGTTTTAATTTTGGGGTTTGGATGTGGTGGTTCTTTGGTAAGTGGGTTTTGGGATTAAGAGAAGACGTCGTGAGAGGCTTTAAGGGAATTTTAGTGCTGGTTTTTGTGTGAACGGTTAGATGGTTTCTGAAAGAAGCTTTGCCATGTTTTGAATTGGTGAGGTGTAATTAAGGATGGCTATGAAGGGATATTGTAACACAGATGTTAACTCTTCATGTATATATCTGAACTCTGGCTGGTGAGTACAGTAAGCACTATTACAGACTGTCAGACTTACGAGTGGTTCTACCCTGCATAACCTGCAGAAAAATAAGCTACAAGACAAAACTTTACATGTAATTTCCAAAGCTATGATCCAAATTCAGGATCACGAAGTCATACTTCCAGAGTGAGCTGTGGGACAAACGAAGATTAAATTCGGCTATTGCTGAACGTGTACAAGTAATGATTAGTATTTCTAGTTTATCTTTAGGGTTCTATATAACGCAAGGAACTATATTCCAAGTAATATGCCTGTATTCTAGATGTACATTGATACACAGAGCTTGAAGTATATACACACGAAGAAAAGCCGAATTCTCAGCTCATCCCAAATAGCTTACATACCCCAACAACCTAGAGAATCACCCTACCTCCACTCATAACCTCAATATCCATCCCAACGACCCACATTCTTTCCAGTCCTAAAGCACCTCAAAAACAAAAAGAATTACGTGACGATGTATCAAATCTATTTCCATCCCTCTCACCGCCAGACCCTCAGCATCGGGATACAAAACCATCCCAACAAAAACCTCACGCGTTAAAAGTAGAACAAGCCACCCCATTTCCGCTAACCAGTAGAAAACCAGTCTCCAAATGTCGGTATCGGCTCTCCTAGCGTCCTCTTCGTACAGGAAGGGTATGGGGAAAATTTAATTACTTTTTGAGCTAGTGAGAGTCTGGGATAAGGGGTTGCCGACATGAATCTGGGGTTTTTTGTGGGGGTTGCAAATCCCTGCGAGGAAGACTCTGAAGAGGGACATATGGGTTTGCGGCTGTAGAGTGGGGTGGCGTATGTGGCGTTCATCTGTTCCTTTTCTCCTGATGCGCTACTAGGTAAATTGTTCCCCAGTTATGACTCAACTTCGTGCTGTATTACTGTTTATTGATGTGTAGGTCAAGGGATCAGCCTCTGTTGACCGAGGATCGTCGAGCTCGACGTCACTACTGGATATCTGGGCTATGAATGCACTCGTAATATTAAAATGGGATAGTGATGTAAGATGTTTAATTTGCAATGCTTTTTAGGTGCCTTTTAGATTTCCATATGTAACGGGGGTATAAAGCTGGTATATACAGAAGAGACAGGTAGAGAAATAGAATAAACGAATGGTGCCCCTCCAATATAACGCCGGCAGAAAAGAAGGGCCATGTATTGCCTCCCGGGTATCAACAACTAACTCTTGCCACCTTTCCGCCCCATGATCGCTCCGCAAAATCCATACCACAAAGACACCAAGGAAAGAGATTTTCGAGACAACGAAGTGAAGGTTGTGTCGTCACGTATAATGTCGTTCATGTTACTGGTGCATCAACATGTAATTTCCGTCGTAATGCGGTATCTCACCACCCTCAAATTCCATGGGCATGCCATCGAAAGGCAGATGGAGTCCGTCAGGCAGACTGCCCCAAAGCATCCCGTCTAGATCCCAAATTCCTGGGTGGTCTATCATGACCATGCCATCTTCAGTGGTCATTTCAACGTGCTGTATTCCTGATCCCTCCATCAGGTGTCCATTCATGCCATTCATTCCGTTCATAATATGTGTGATGCCATCCACACCATGGATACCACTCATGTTCATCGGCGAGGGTGGTGTCAGAACCTGATTATTGGCCCCACCTTCGCTTTTAACCATAGTCGGACCCATGCGTGGGCTATTTTGTCGTGTAAGAGGACTCTTGCTTGCCTCGTACATCTTAACTAGAACCTCTCTGCTTCTTCTCGCGGCCAAGGACCAATCCGACATTTCATCCAAGGCTTCCAGGACAATTTCAATTTGTCCCTGGCAAGCCCGGACTAGATCCGTATTCCATGACTCCCAAAACATCATTACCAAAGGAATCATTGAAGCTTGATACATGAACCAGACAGCACCCCAACCTAACATTTGGTTTCGTGCCCATTCGCGTGCGATGTCTTCGATTGTTTGTTTTGCAAGGATGCGACATTTGTTTATTGTTGCAATTTCGTTAGGTGTGGCTGTAACATCGTTACTAGAATTAGCGAGATTCAGGAGTACAGGTCGGTGTAGCACAATGCGAAGGTTTTGGTAACGCCATTTCATGATGCATCGCGCAGTGTAGATTGACTCTGGACATGGCTCCGTCGATCTCAGGATCCAAGGTAGATTGTCATACCATGTTGTGAGTTCGTGGTCGAGTTCGCTTAACTGGCTGTGGTGAAGAAGAGGCGACTGAGCCAAAATATCTTGGATGTGGGTCGAAAGCTTGCAGAACTTAATACTTTCTATCATTGGAATGATTCCAGCATTCTGCCCCATAACCTTCTGTAGTGAATGTGAGCTCAGTCAATGCATATAACTATAGTCAAGAAAATCACGTACCAAATCATTGCTCTCCTCTGGAGAGCGAATAGTGATCCCAGGTCCCCAGCGCCCCATGGATGGCCTTCCAAGCGTAGTATTAGCCCATGTATCCAGGCAAAATAGGCTCCACCATGTTCTCCTCCTTTGCTCCCGGAGGAGATTGCTTCCATTCGATGCATCTGGCGAGCTTTCTCGGTGAAGACCCATAGTACATGCCATCCTCAGAGCAGCTCCGGTAATAGCATTTGCCATATTGGGCCTGTTGATATAGTGTAAGTAGTACCCTCCCATCAATATGAACGCTTGTAGGGTCTCCAAATGCCCACTGCCAAAACTGTCGAGGCCTAGATGTTCCTTTGATCTTGTGTAATAGCTGATATGACTATGGTCGTCCGACTTGGTGGCCACAATGCTACCCATTGCAAATACCATATTTAAAAGAGCTAGCCATGGCGCATGCTGTCTCCTTCCATTCAAGTAGTCTGCCCGAAACGAGGGCTCATCGAGCATCGGCACAAAGATTTGAACGCGATTGAAGTAAGCATCAATCAATGTTTGGCCTTCGGACGACCAAGTAATAGCCAGTTGGCTCTTGGTGGGTGCTCCAGGTCGAGGGGTTGGATAGTTACTTGTTGCATTGTTTTGCTTGTTGCCGCCGTTATGTGCCAGGAAAGCTCCCAGCTTCGGAGCAACTTTGAGCATAACCAGAAAGGCTGCCTTGATTGAGCTGGCACCCAAGTATGATGTTTGCTTGTCCACAGATAGAGATAACGCATTCACATCATCAGCTTCGGCGGGAATAGGGTCTCGGTTTCGTTGCTCTTCATCCCATTCCGTATCTTGACTTGGAATCTGCTCCAAATTTGCAAGAGCGCGGTCATCATCCGCTGCTGAGGTCATGGGAGAGTGAAGATCTTGAGAGAAGTCTGTGAGAGGAGAGGTCGTTGTGTGGGAGCCAGTTGGTGATGTGGTAGATACCATACTTCCATTCCGAGCTTCACAACGGTCCTGGTCCAGAAGACTAAAGAGCTCTTGCCGCGACAAAGGGAGTAGTGCCTGGGCATCATGACTTGGATATAGTCTCTTGAGCACAGTTCGGCATTCCTCGAGTGACTGAGAAAGCGCATCGAGAGTCCTGTGCCAGTCAGTAGCTTATTGAGGCTAGTCGTTCCGCGATCATTTTATTCCGCTGTATTGAACTTACTTGCGTGAAGGAATCACTCGCTGTCTATGCTTATCATAGTAGCAAGGTTTGGGCGACCGGCAACCAAGACATTGGCCACAGGGCTGCCGTCCATCACATCTAATCTTTCGTCTCTTACACTCTGCACAAGCATGAGGAGTAGTGATTCTTTTCGAGACGCCGTTGATAACTGGTTTTTGTGTCTCTTGCGCTTGCTCTGTCGTGACCCGAGGCGGAGCCAAACCTTGAACTAAATCAGATAAGAAGGTTAGTCTATCTACCATACAGACAGAAAGTGTAGATTGTCATGTACTAACAAGTGTGAAACATCTTTGATGAGCTGAGCGAAGGACTCATGGAGAGCGATTTAGGCCCCGGACTATCTGGATGTCCGATTGCAGCTTCGGAAAATTTTGAGATTATAACGATGCAGGTAGCTCTCTAGGGAAAAACCTGCGTGTGCCAAAAAGACTGCGAAGTGACAGGGTACTCGTTGGTTTTAAGAATCCCGTTAGCGACTGCAGTAGTTGAGATCCCGTAGGCCTCCGAAATGGCGGTTTCTCAAACCTTACAGCGACCAATCCGGTACTGTACTGTATGAACAGCCGTGATTGAGCAGAAATGTACAGCGGGAGGAAGAAGTCTTTGGGGGCCAACAGGATGGCTGATGGCGATAGTCGGGTCCGTCGATTATGAAATCCCCTCTGACTGGAATTGATGATGCAGTGCCACACCAATATATAATGTACTTTCGAGGCGCAGAGATACAGCAGAAATAATTGCATTGGCAAAGTCGGAGAGTGACTCGACTTGATCGGCGGCTTGCAAATATATAACATAACAAGCTCGTGGAGTCCAAAAACAGGGTTGTAAATTGCTCCAATCTGATGACTTTAATAAAGTCGCCTGGTCTTAAGGAACATATATATCAAGCTGTATTATACCTATTATACCTAGGTAAATCCGGAGCGGGCGGGTACTACGCAGGGTTCAGGGGCCGTGGATCGAGGGGATCTCCTCTGCTGCGAGGAAAGTCATTGGTCTGGATCGCTAGCAACAGAAGACAACCGGAGGTGAAGGTACCCCATACCGTTGGGCAATGCTAGTGGTGTGGCAGACTGGAGAGTGAGGAGGGGGAACTTTCATCCTAGGAAGGAGGTCAAGGGGTCGCTGTGGTAGTGGTGGGGAGGGAGTGGACGGGCTGGACGGAGCTGCTGATGGAAAGGGCAAGGGTGTAATATGTGATGTTGAAGGAGGTGTTCGACAGCGTCCCTGAAGAGACCTCGGAAAGGGAAGCGAGACCAACAACAGAGGCCAACCGAGAAGAGAATAAGGGCGAGGGAGGGGTATGACTTGGACCGCTGAGGAGGGTGTTCGTTGGCGATGTCGAACCGTGGTTGAGGAGACCGTTTGCGGTTCTGTAGGCAGAGTTGACGCAGGTGATGCTGGTGATGATGGTGATACTCTGCCTTTGATGCCAGTTGATCTACTGCAGTTTGCTGCCACAAGTCCACCGTGTCTGGCTGGTTGTCGAGGTACCAGGAAACTCACCCCAGCGGCATCGACCCATCTACATCCATTGTCAAGGTACGAAGTTTGTCGGCTCATTAGTATCCTGTTTTCCCTTCTCGTTCCCTGTGGGCTCTACTCATTTGGGGGCGCCCAAGATGGTTGTAGATATGGTACCGAGTACGCTACGCTACAAAGCGTTGAAGCTGGCGGGCATTGAGCTTCCACGATGTCAACATATCAGATGCCAGAAATCTTTGGGTACGTACTGTACGAGTACCGAGTACGGCTTCAGTTGTCCCTCGGCTGTTCTGCTCCCCATGTCGTCTCTAACCAGCGTTAAATGCACCCCGGATGAACGAGTCAAAGCGCCACGCCACGACAGGCCTGTCCTACTGCCATACTGTGACGTTGCTGTACTCCAGAGTCCCAAAACTAAAGACCCCATGTCCTGGTTGCGGTTTATGTATTGTGTGTTCCCCAGAAACATGAGTGCAGCTCGCCTGTCTTCCTCCACGATCTCTCTTAATGACCCACCCTCCCTTTTTCCCCACACTTTTCGCAACTCCATCACTCCGCTTAATCTCTTGGACAAACCCTGACATTGCAGAATACAGCACAGTACCGTACAGAACTGCACAGCGGAAATTTTGCTCTGCATATGTTTTTGCGTCTGCTGAGGACGAAATCTGCCGTCGAAGTTCGTTATAACTCGAAATATTTCTAACCACGAATCTGAAGCTCTAACAATGCTTTGATTTTAATCCGGCCTTACATTATACACCTAGCCGAACCATTCTACCACGTGGGAACCCACCTTAATTTCCCTCGTCGTGTATAAGAGCCGCTATTGAGTGCTCCAAAAAAAGATTCGGTAAGACCTCACTTGGAGAATACTCCTGTAATACCACTATATATCGCACGGAATCCATCCCCATAAGTCACCAGAGCCACAAATCTTAGCCAAGAGCTGAGTTGGGATCGAGGACCCCAACTTCTCGCGATTTTCCCTGCAAGGTCGTTAAAATCAATAAGGCCACTTTTACGCAATGTTGGTACGCGCGAACCTACTACCAATGTCATGCAGCTTAATTTGTATCCATACCATGGTAGCTATAAACTGGGTTAGGCACCACTGAGTTGTTGTTCCTCATTGAAAAGTTGTCTTCAACAATGTCAAGGCGTTCAGTCAGCCCCAAGGTTGGATTTTTGCAGAGGCTTGGGCCATATGGTACCACAATGTCAGCCCTGAAATCCCAAGGAAGACTGGAAGTTATGATACCATTGAATGTTTTGGTCTTTTCGAAGAAACTAGCTTCCTTGAGCTTCAAAGAACTATTACTTGGGCTATCTCAGCTTGGACAGGTTATGGACAAAGGTTAGTAGAAGCATCTCATTTATACCTATGCCCCCAAAAGGAAATAGTGGTAGGTTGAAGATTGATAATGTGGGCCAACGGATTTGAACTCAGCCAGCCAACGATATCCGAGTCCCGTCAGAATTTGGTTTCCTCACCCGCCCCTTCCCCGGAAAACACCACCGGCACGGAACGCTGACGGGAGGAAACCATAAACGGTGTCTTATATGAGAAGAATGCCCTCTGTAGGAAGAACCAGGAGGCAAAATTCCGGTAATACCCCCTGAAATAGCTCTCGACCAATCATCCTTAGACACGATAAAATCAGAAGGGAAGACCAATTTCTATTCGCTAAGATATCAAAAAGAAGATTTGTATCCCCAACCAAAGCCCATGAAGGGACGCTTGTGGCTTCATACCGAATATTGAGATACATGATTGATTACTTTGTCGATTTTGGGCAAATCGTTGTTGACCAATTACAGTAAATTATCAGTTCCCGATTTGGACATACGAGCGCCATATTCGTCTCGGCTGCATAACAACCACCGTAGATGCCCGTGCCAGTGATTGTTCTTATTCACATTGTATGGTGGGCGGCGCCAGATTTTCCAAGGTCCTTGCACAGGAAGAATGAGCAAGTGTCAAAACGCGGGGAAAATATCATGGTGAGACGCGAAAACAATCCGTTTGTCTATCATGGTCTTCGATTACTGGTCCCATGAATCTTAATGCGTTTATCTTAAGCCTCTTGTCATACACACAAGTGCGTGCTACAGGTGGTCATTCAGGCACCTTATCCGAAGACTTCGCTATTCATCCAGCGAATCATTCTCATGATCCTATTCCACTTTGCTTGGCACATGGAAGTTGCTGTAGCAGAATGACCGAAAACGTGAAAACCTGCATTTTTTCACGGTTCCTGGTCGTTTTCATTGGACATGATTTGTGTTGGGCAAGCAAGAAATAGAGTTGAGAGGCTGGCGTCTTCTTCCTGGGCTCAGTTGTCAACGCCCATGCTTTGTGGGGAACCTAGGTATTCCTGAGGTCATCGCGGTAAAGGATTTATTTGATTGCCGACTGTCAAATAAAGATGGGTGGGGCAGATAATCCTAGTAGCCCAAAAATGGCACTTGAGACTTGCGGAAACAGATAATGCAGCGGCGAAACTGCAATGGTACCCAATCTCAACTGATCTGCTGCTGAATTTGTACACGGCAGGAGTTGGAAAAGGTGTAAGGCTTATACTTTCTTGTTTCTATCCTCTCTCAAGTAAAGCACCCAGGCTCTTGAAGCTTGATATTTCTGATGTTACTGGGCGCATAGGTTGGTTGCCGCAAACATCATGATATGGTTATTATGATCAAGAAGTACCAGGGCAGTCAACCCTTTAGAATGCCAATTGTCACTTTGACTCATCACGCCATCGCCATTGCTATCAAATTCCATGATGATCAGGAGAAGTAGGTAAATCCAAAGCTATGAACCATGTTCCCTTGTTCCAAAATACTGGCCATTGGACACGACACACAAAATTTCGTGTTTGCTCTCAGATGCCAACATCTGATCATAGCTTATATAAGTCTGGTTCTGTATTCACCTCGAAGAACTCGCTTATGTACGATTGTCTCTTTAAGGATTCACTAGCATGCTTTATGTATATTTTTGCTTGTGATTATCCAATCAGGCCCTGGTTAAGAAGTGAGAACAAAATGTCGAGAGATCCGGTCACCTTGTATACTTATTTGCTAAGCATGGATTCGATAGTTACTTTCCCAATCATTTCCAAGCCTACATCCAAATTCACTGGATCATCTTTTACCTCCAAGTATCCGGACGATCATGTTGAGTCTCGCACAGCCGACTGCAACCTGCGGGTGAACAAGGTCATCAAGCTACCATAAGCCCCATCGATTCCATCAACTAAATCACGATAAAGGCTAGCTATACGAGCAGCCATGCCCATCGTCAATTTTGGAAGCACGTTGAGAGGCTCAACTATGAGTCCTACGTCAGATACTAGATCCATTTGCTACTTCGCCATAGGGACTAGAGACTGACTATACAACCAAACATCCACCAGCTATCATCGTCTTGGGAAGCGTCTTGGAAAGCTCGTCTATTTGTGCTAGGTAAGATGCCAGCTTGAGTCGCAGACGGGACAGACATTCCAGCCATAGAGATTTAACTGGGGCTCAAAGATAGTGGTAACTCGAGGATTGGTCCTCTAAGAGATACTATCGTACTAACATTCTATTTTCTTGAGTAGTGTATTCATACGAGGAAGATCGTTCGGAAGTTTGAACAGAGAGCCCATTTATCTTGTCCCTCTAGCGACTGTTCGCCTCGAAGACTTCTTGAATAAAACCAATATCGGCCGCTAAATACAGAACCAGCCAACCATTTTACGCAAGGGTTATACCACCTTACTTAGAAACATGGCGCAGATTGCATTGCTATGACGTCCTGGGGATCAGGAGGATGCTTAAAATTCGGTATCGTACTTGGTCACGCAAGAAATTTGAAGAAAAGGACCTGTTCAATTTCGGCGAACTGAAGATCAACGAGTTTGTAGCGAGGTACATATTGCCGCCTGTTTTAGGTCGTCCGCTAATCGGGATAGTCTCGTTTGATTATGCCACGTCCACTGAATACGCATACCGGTATGCCCTATAGTAAGCTCCCTCTTTACAACTCGGCCTTTAGGACTTATCTTATACTCTTTTATTTAACCAAGTTTCTTAACATATCTCGTATACTAATCCTAAGTTATCAATCTTCCAACTGAATGCTTGGATGAGAGACATCTAGGTGTACCAATAAAATCAAATTCTCATTTATTTGAACCATCAATAATTATTTGGATATGTTGAGTTGAGAGCCGTAATACCACTTGTTTACCTGAGAATCAAAAGATTGGGAGGTTAAGCGAGTTCGTTTCTCGCTAATCCAGAGATTGTTGACTGATCCTAGGAGTGAATGGCTCATGTTGGATGTTGGACTAACGCTTAAACAAAGACACACCGAAACTAGAGAATGATATAGTTTACGTAAGTGTTATAGTAACAAATAGCAAGACGTGATAGCACTGAAATTAATTCATATCTATTATACACAACAACACCTTTTTTCGTAGATTGAATTTTTTGTTCTAAAACGCTCAATCTCTCTTACTCTCCCCTAATAAGCTGAATTCCTTCCATGGAGACTCCTCTAAGGAGGCCTCCGGCCACGCCTACGCCCCTAGGAAGGGGTATAGGGAAAGGGGGGTACGCCCAATTCCTCCCCTCCCCAACATACAACAACAATTTGTCTCTGGGACCACTGAAGCTCTAGAACGTGGTGCTATAGGCCAAATCTTCTTTGGAGGCACCGCAGAAGCTGTAGACCACCACCTAAGTACTGCTCTTGATAGAGCACCTCCGGACCTCTTGCCCTACCTCAGGGCCTTTTGTACACAGGTGGCCGACCTTAGCCTAGCCTTTCACCGAACATACACCTCAGGGGCCCCGCCTCTACTACATTTAGCTCCTAGAGCCCCAAACAGGTATAGGGACGACCCTACATCCCCCTCTCTGGCCCCTGTGGGAAAACTTTCTTACGCACAGACCATAAAAGATGCCTCAGCGCCTGATACAGCAACACCACAAAACCCCCTACCTCCTCCTGTCACTTCGAAGCTACAGAAGAACAAGAGATCCCTAGCCAAATCTGACCTCAGAGTCTTTATCCGACTACCTCTAGACGCTCCTGAAAGGAAACACTCTGCTCTAGCTATCTACCTTGCTCTCTGCGACCCAAAAATTGGCTGTAGCGAGCTTGTACAAGAAGTACTGTCAGTTAACTCTGGCTTTGTGTGACAGTTTTTGATTTAGTGAATAAGGGTTCGCTTAGCGAAGTTGCGGGTGTACCCTTCCGTAGATAGACAAATANTACTGTCAGTTAACTCTGGCTTTGTGTGACAGTTTTTGATTTAGTGAATAAGGGTTCGCTTAGCGAAGTTGCGGGTGTACCCTTCCGTAGATAGACAAATACCTAAGGAGTGCGAAGAGCGTCTCTCTTCCCTCGCGAACAATCTATTCCTTGATCCCCACCATAACACTTTGCTATTGTACCTAATAGCAAGGAAGCACGAGCCACTCTCTTATCAACAAAAAAGGCCTTTATTCAAACCCTGTTCCATGCAGCCAGAATAGAGGCCTCGCAAGACTGGGCAGTATTCCGTTTATCAGGGATCCCTCGAAGTGTTGAAACAGTCCACATCAATGAAAAAGGAGCAATTATATCAACCCTCATCCCTACTACCCCTAGTGTAGTTACTGCGGCTATAGAAGAGCGAATGAGAGTAATACCTACAAAGGTTGACATGGCTACGAGCTCTCTCTCTGACGGGCTGTTCTACACCTCTTGGATAGTATTCTTTGAGGAAAAGGACACAAGGGCCCCTCACACCATCCCTGAAATGACGTCTCTCTTTGGAAGAAGAGCCTTCTTTAAGCGCCTTCCTAAAGTCTCTACTGTTACACAGTGCTCTAAGTGCTGGATGTGGCATAACTCAAGGAACTGTGGGAAGAACCAGCGTTGCTGCCTATGCGGTACCACTAAACACTCTGAAGCCTTCCACCCTAGGTGTATTAGACACTCTCAGTGTAAACTGAAGTGCCTACACTGTAGTGGCCCACACGCCTCTGACGACACCACGTGCCAGCTCAGACCAAAAGCCTCAGGGGCTCACCCCTCAACCGAGAACAAGAGAGCAATCCGGCAAGCATGGAATGAGACGCGGATA